TTGGAAGAACGTTAGGGTTGGTCAAACTAAAACGTGTCATCAGTCCATAAAGTAACTAACTTATAGCCTGAGCCATGTTGGTAGATGCAGACTGCTTGTTTGTGGTGGGAGCGCCTATCATACTCAATGGTTTGAGACTGTGGGTGACGTGGCTCAGAATCGATCACAATGGCGCACGTGTATACACTTTCTGTCTTCCTTTTAAACCATGAGATAAAAATTGTTTTACAACCTTCTTTTTACAAAGTAGTTCTTTCTTCCTGTATTATGTCCTTATACACAATCTCTCTTTATATGTCTTTGACGTTCATCTTGTTGTGCTGATGAGGTGTGGAAATTTGAACCGACGCTATATAATCCCCTCTCTTGGTTCTCAAGTTTCATCGTCCTTCTGAACTTCGTTTTTATGAAGATACGGTCGATTTGGTTTTGTGTATTGTGATCTGGTTAAACCCATGTGGCTTTGTGCATGCGTTTATGTGGGAATATAGTGCCACTTATAACCAGTTTGTTGAAGACACAAATGTTTGCAAGTCTTTCACCATTTTTGTTCCATTCTCACAGTCGATGTCCTCCATGATGTCTTCGTACACGTTGTTGTCCCTTTTAACCTTGATATTTAGGTCTCTCATCCGAATGATCAAGTCTTTTGCTGTGTATTTCACGACAATGGGCTTCAGCCTATCGTATAATCGATCTTTAATGTCTTCATTATATTAGTTGGTAGGCGCATAGCTTTGGATGACGTTCATCTTATTGCCCTCTTTCTTGATTGTGAAAGAGGCGTTGATGATCCCATCCTATAAGTGCCTTTTGTGCTTATTTGGATAGCATCAGTGCAACGCCTTATGTATATTGAGCACTTTCTTCTTCATGACTGGAGTATAACAGCAGCTCCTCTGAAGATATTATTTTTAGTCCAAGCTGCGTCCAATGTGTTTCACTGACCCCAAGCAACTCTAGATTATATCTTGTAACTTCTGTTGCGATTTGGATGACTTTCCCTGTCCTCTACAGCGTACGAACATTCCGTGTACCTTAATTATTCGTTGCTCTGGTTATCAGAAGGGGTATCAGCCTCGTTAGGCTGATAACGTAAATAGTTGATAAAACTTAACGAAGAACGCCTATGCATTTCTCATTCACACTGGCCTAGGTTTCCTGACCATATGGTCTACAATGTAGCTGATGTCTAAAAACATGCACATTTAAGATGCAGTTATGAAACACTGGGTTTCGATGCCATTATTCTAGTCTGAAAATTATATAGGGTTCATAAAGAAACTACATCCTAATGTGACAACAGTATTAAGTGATGGGTTCAGGACGCTTTGGGTCTCATGACGAACATTTATCAAGTTGAATGCAAATATGTCTGGTACAGTAAGCACAACCTTAACAACGTCCAAAAACGTAGTTTCTTTCTTTCCTCCTTCAAAACCAATTCAAAATTCTTTCCAATTACGCAGAACCTGATTTATTATTACTATTCTATTATTAATATTTTATTTTTCCTTCCTTTCTCAAGCATGACAAATGTAATGCTAACATTATTGAAAATTGTGTATTATTGCATTTTTGAAGAAACCCGAAATGGTTTCTTCACAGCACTTATGTACCCATAAGATGTTTGTGAATAATAATAGTAAGCTGCAGTGAGACTGCAGACCCTTGGTTGGAAGATGACTTGAGTAACCTGGACAAGAAACTATGGACAGATTTTCTTTTAATCCGAAAACTCTGATGTTCACTATTCATTGTGCAGTTTGAAAAGTCGGACCTCTCTTCTTTGTCTTGACTCTCTATGAATTGCAATCGTAATAAATTTCTGATATGGTAGGTACAAGCCATTTTAACGACAAGGTCAACTATTTACACAAAAGGTCTACAGATGAAGCACTACCGAATTAATGTTATTATATACATACAATGGTTGTGCATAAAGGGGCATAATGTTCACGTAGATATACTAGAGATATAACAAAGTATTTTTAAGCATTAACACTAATATTATTGCCCAATAATATGATCTAATTTTACTAGTTGAGATCAGGAATCAATTGAAGCTAGACCACAATGGAAAACCTGGAATCACTGGTCGGCCATTTCGTCCTATTGTGGGACTCCTCAGCAGTGCGCATTCACGATCTCACCACAAGTGCAAAGGTTAGTAACACGAAGCTTGGGAGAGTCTAACGCCTAAAGCTCTCAAACGGTGCAGTAAAAATGGTTGCCTGAGGTTTTGTCAACAGTGCTACTCAAACTCAAGCAGCTTACTAGTCGAAGCCATCTCAGTGGTAAACAATGACAAAAAGTGTATTAGCAAACGAGGAAACATCGGAGAGTACCCGCTCCGTCGACACACAAATTGATGTGAAGCCATATCAAGTGAGCTTAATAACAGCTGAATCACATCGACCGAAGGAGGATCAACCAACTTCAAAGAAGTCTATCACAAATGACAACTCAACAGAAGAAGTTTCTTCTGTTCTCCTCTCTCTTAACGGTAACCACAGGAAACGCCCAAAAATCTCAATCCAAAAGCTAGATCTCTTTCTAGAAGAAAAACAATCTGACTGTCCAAGTCGCTCCCAACATTCCGGAATCCCACAGTGTGTTTGACGCAACTGTGGTTGCCACTTCAACGTAAGTTGATGAATAAGTACATGTCTTGCTCAGGAAACGATAGAACTCTCCTAAAACAAAACCCAACCCATCAGAAAGTAGCTAAGAAATTAAAGACTGATCACAGTGGCAGGTCATTTATCTTTCAAAGAATAAAAGAGAGTGAAATCTCTGAACCTTAAACTCGTTATGAACATAATATTTGGTTGATAAAACAGTTTTAAAATCAGCTTATGCCTCAGGATATCTCCGGAGTCACCATACTAGAGGTGCATAGACTAGGTCCTCAAGCGAACTTCAAACCAAATCAAACAAGGCTGCTCAAAGTACTATTTAAATGTCATAATGAACGGGACTTAATATCACAGAATGGACATAAACTAAAGGATTCAGGAGTTCTTGTCCGTGAGGACTTGCTGCTTGCAGACAGTGTAAAGAGTCAAGCAGCCAAAAAAGAACTACAGCTTAGGTTAGATGTTGGAGAAATTCACCTTTAAAATTGTAAATTTTTGGTTTGTTAGGCTTTGACGGAGAATGATGCCGAAGCCACTATGGATACAGCTCGCAGCCATTTAAATAAGCTTCGGATCTGTTACACCAATGTCCAAAGCTTGCTCAATAATGTGTCAGAACTGGGTGTACAGATTGACTATACCAAGCCAAATATAATCTAAGGCACAGAAACTTGGCAGACGCAGCCTATGTATAGTATGGAAGAAAAATTCTCCCTCACATACACTGGACGACGTCACCATTAAAGAACTTCATGTCTTTGATCTTCTAAGCTTGATAAAGGCAAGTTCACAAGACTAACGAACTGCATCCTAGGTTACCGAATGAACCAACTAACTTCGTTGCAAAACCCCTTAAGTATATGTTATAATCTACATGTACACGGGGTCCAGTGACAAAAGACTGTGAGAGCGCCACAATAAGTCCTGTCTTCAAAGCAGGTACGAAATATAAGCCTGAAAACTGCCGACCCATTAACCTAACTAGCATGGTTGTTAAAATTTTAGAAAAGATTATTCGGAAGAAGAAGAAGTATCTCCACAAATACAGGATCCGTTCGGAAAGGCAACATGGTTCTGGGATAGGTTATTCTTGTCTCAATAACTTATTGGTGTCTAGTAAAAGCTGGTGTGCTCTTAAAGGCCAAAAGTTACCTATGAAGGCAGCCTACATTGACCGCAGCAAAGCGTTTGACAAAGTTCCTCACAACCGCTGTTATGTAAGCTAAGAAATGCATAGATTGGAGGCCATCTATTGATGCGGATAAAAGACTTCCTAGTTGGGCGACAACAAAGAGTACGGGTGAACTCCAAGTTTCCTAACTGGGAAACTGTGCTTAGTGGAGTCCCCCAAAGTACATTTTTGGGTCCAGTGTTATACCTCTCGTATGTAAATGACCTTCCTCGTCTCCTATCATCATCGGTCTTGCTGTATGCTGATTACGTCAAGATATAGAGAGCGATAAGTAGTAGGGGCGATAGCTCAGAACTTGGAAATGACCTGGAGAAATTATCTGATTGGTTTCAAACTTGGCAGTTGATGACAAACTCTTCTAAGTGTATTGTGATACATATTGACCATCAAGGTACAGATACGTGCAGGAAGAATAACATTGAGCTACTTTTCATCCAGATACAAAATGACTTAAAAGTTATCGCTATCCAAAACTTAAGGACTACTGCACACTGCCGTGCGATAGCCTCCAAAGGTTTTAGAACCTTATGGTTAATACGTAAGGCCTTTAGTCATTTTGAAGCCGAGAATTTTTAACTTTGTGTACAGTGTTTGTGCGTCCTAAACTTTAGTACTTCATACAAGCAGCTATCCCTTGCTTAAAAAGAAGACAGTGTGCTCTGGGAAAAGGTTTGAAGAACAGCAACCAAACTGATTTCTAGAGTAGCGAAGCTTCTGTATGGTGCTCTACTGGTTTGGTTAAACCTTTTCCCATTGTCATATAGGAGAACTAGAGGTGACTTGATTACCGATTTCAAATTACTTAGTGATAAATTTGCATCTGATATGTCCTCATTTTTCTTGTCTTTCAAAACAGAGAGTTTATTAGGACACTCCAAAAATGGTCACAAGCCCAGAACAAATTACTTGTCGGTTGACTATCGACTTTCCTATTGAATCATCAAAGAGTAGAATCCATTAACTCAGTACGTGATTGAAGCTCCATCTGTCGACTCTTTCAAAAGAAAATTGGATTAAATGAGAGACTATCATTGTCAGGACTAACAAAAGCCATCAAGCCCTCTGTTCTTTCCAAACTGAAACTGACACTTTGGACACGGTCTTTTAATACTTCACCACTTTAATTTACTGGTACAGTTTACTGTGTTGGTTTTTCAAGAGAGTTTACGATGTATGGGGGTTCTATATCTGGTGAGGATGATAAGTACGACTATTTGTTTAAAGGTAATAAAAGATCTAGCTATTTATTCCAATTGAAAAGTTGTACTGACCGGAGATTCGGGTGTCGGGAAAAGTAACTTACTCTCACGTTTCACAAGAAACGAGTTTAATTTGGAGAGTAAAAGTACAATCGGCGTTGAGTTCGCTACAAAGTGGGTCCTCAGTAAATATTAATAATGGCATCTAGGAGTGTAGAAATTGATGGAAGGACTATAAAAGCCCAGATCTGGGATACTGCTGGTCAGGAACGTTATCGAGCTATAACAGCTGCGTGAGTTTACAATTTTTTATGTAAATAGTTCAGTGCCATATCTAAAAAACTGGCAAATATTGGCATTTAGTTTTTGAATTACTTTTTTAATTGTGTTTGCTCATCCTGATGATTGCACTAATATATGTTGTAGAAATAATTGCGTCCACCTAAAACGCAGCTGTGCACCTATTGCTAAATGTAGTATTTTATCTAAGTGTCCCGACATTATACGTTCTTTTTAATGGTTTTAAAGTGTACAGGAAGTCAAAAGTTTGGGTCGTTGTATTTATTTCTTCTATTTAACCAGAACAATCGACAGATCATCAGAATAAAGCACAACCATCCTCAACTAGATACATCGTGGACAAGCATGTGGATAATCATTCCATGTATTTTAATATATAGAACCCTATTATTTAAAGTTCATGTTATAAAGGCAAGACGTTAGGATGTTATTAAAGTGGATATTGGTTGATAATGAAGTCCTGAAATCAAGTTAATTTACATATTTTTGTAGCTAAGATGTCGCTGCTAACATAACAAAACTATTGTGTTGAATCACTCGTGTTAGTTTGTGGTATTGCTGATTAACAGTCTACTTTAAACCTAGTTTCAGTAAATGTAAATCGGCGTTCCATAACATTGAACCAATCTTATATGTGTGGTTTTATCTCAGTTTTTGATAATCAACCACTTGATAAGAGTTGTTTAAGTTTTTGGACCTTTTAGTTTTGCCGAATTACAACCAGTTTCGTATCTGGGTACTCATATTTCGTATCAGTGTTTGTTAGCTGTTCAACTTTATGTCTTATTCGCCTTAAATCTTCAGTGAGTTTATTTTTGAGTCCACAAGCTAGGTTGACTTATACCTGTAAATGGACAGATATTTGGACAAATATCCTTCTTCATTGTATAGACTTGAGATGATATTCCTGTCGGTTGTGGACCTGCCTTAATAGTTTGGGAATCTGTAAATTGGTAGATGTATTACGATTCAAGTGTTTATGCACTTGATGTCGGTTTTTAACTAAGGATGACGCTCTATCGAATTTGGTAGTGTGATTATAAGCAGTCATAGAAGGTTTCAAAATGTCTGTTGTAAGTAAATAGCTGAAAATTATTTGGTTTGGCATAGTACCCAAACTCAGGTTCGTATACTTCCAATGCTGGTATTCGTGAGAACCAGAAATACAACTGGATGTTTAGTTAACATTACGAAACTTGACAGCGGTAGAAACGAGTTGTGAGCATTAGGATGAATGTCCTGGTCATCATTTCTTTCTAGCATTCCATTCACATCACTCCACCTGGCTAAGTCCATTCATGAATACCATTGATCAAGTTATTTTAGTATTCTAGTATTTAAGAGGTCCTTTTGCATATTGTGTTCGAGACTGTTGACTTTGTTTCAGCTCACTCTCGTTGTTTAACTTTTAAATAGTAATAATTTGACCAAGTAACCTCTGACGTAAGGTATAACATATTTTAATATTTTCTCTTGAAGCTATTACCGTGGTGCTGTTGGTGCCCTGTTGGTCTATGATATCACGAAAAGAGAGACTTTCAACAATCTTGAACACTGGTTACTTGAGTTACGAGGCCATGCAGAACCAGATATCGTCATTATGTTGGTTGGTAATAAGTGTGACCTTAGACATCTTCGGACTATATTGACGGAAGATGCAAAGCTTTGGGCTGAGAGGCATGGACTTTTCTTTATGGAAACCTCAGCTTTGGAATCTACCGGCGTTGAGAATGCTTTTTATTCGATTCTTAGAAGTGAGTTTTAGATTTTACTCATATGATGATATAAGTTTTGACTGAGAAGTTAAACTTGACTCAGTGTAGTACTTTTTGTTGTTTCAGTGCATTTTGGTTTATCATTTCCATAGATCACGTTGGCTCACCATTCAACTGTGAATCTTTAAGGCTTTAATATTTAACAAAGTTTATTGGTTCGCGTCAGCAAACTACTTTGAAGGATAAGTATTTTGCTAGAATGATAGTGCTTCGTCTTTGCTACCTCATAAAAGAAGAGTATGAATCTGGCTGCAAAATGATCTGTCTTTGTTTCTCAGTGAATTTAATGTTGGAAAACTGTGTTATGTTGTACAAGCATGTTCGCTGATTCTGTAACAGTGAGAGTAAAAGGTGAATATTCAGTTATGGAGCTGTTGCTTAATGATCAAGGTGTTCGACTTTCAGCCACTGAGTCTCAGCTTTAAACCTCACTCTGCTTTGATTCAAGCTACCGTGTAGTATCATTATTTTCCACACTTAAGGTTTGTCTCATGCTCATGCACCGGGTGATTGAGTTGAAAATATAAGGCTAACGTACTTGATCGTTATTGGTTTTTGTGACATGATAAAAGACTGAATGTGACACTATACTATGTTTGAGTAAGTGTAAGTGTCACTGTCCATTACACCTCTTGTATACGTTCGTACTTCATTAATATAACGATGTAACAACTTTATGTTTACGGTTTATGGATGACTTGTTTCCACTGTCTCCCAGGGTGGAGGGTTCCTATGAATATAGAGAGAACAGAGGTCATCACTGAGCTATTCGAACCATGACTGAATTCTCATAGGAATCAGTCGTTTACAACTGATTGATCAGTGATTAGTAGCAGTGACCAGTGTTGTGTTTGTCTAATCTTTCAGTGCTACTGTTCAAATTCTACCAACCATGTATGCAATAGTCTTTCAATAGCTAATAACCATTATTGTGCGTCAGTAAAACGTGTATGTGTATGTGGGTCTACCTTTAAAAGTCTGATATGTTGACAGACGTTTCATTAAATTGTATGTAAAAATGTTAAACATTTGATTTGTAGTCTTATTGTTCTCTTTATGATTTACATTCTGTCCAGCTATTTTTGAGGCTGTCCGTTCACATCCTCCAGCGAGTAATGTCGATATGAAAATGTCTCCATATAATAATCAACCGATTGTTTCACCAAACATAGACAGTTCAAAGAGTGGACGACGGTGTTGTAGTTAGAAACAAGGAAATAATCTAATAGAAATGTGTTTCCATTTTGTATGAGAAGAATTGATTAATTATTATTCTGTAAACTATTATTGTCAATAAATCGATTGATTGATTGATTGATATCAGTAAATCGGTGGATGAAATGTTTATGTTAATTGTAAATTAGTGGTGATTGCTGTTGTCTTTCTTATTTTGGATGGTAACGATTGCTTATTCAGTCTCCACTGTCTCTACTTATTCCTCATTTATTTTGTGTGGATGACTTTTGTTTTGTTCACATTCTCACATTTCATGTGTTTGCTTGTGTGTGTGTATGTGTTTGTGGATTAAAAGGAGAGAATGAAAAAGTGGAGACGAGTTGTTGTCATCATAGTAGTCGAAGTGCAGCATCGTTTCAAATATTTCCCCTCTCCCCTTCATAGCAGTTTTATCTTATTGTACACTAGTGTAAAGTGTGAGCAGAATGGACACTGAATCTTTGTTGTGTGGATCATTCACTCACACAAAACTGAAAAATGAAGAACTAAAACGATTGAGTAAGTTGTTAATGAGCATAATGGGAGACCACACTACAATGACATCGCAATCATCATCATCATCACCACCATTTATTGTTTGTGTATGTGTACAGCTGTGTGTTTCCCAATTCATTGCTTAGTTGAGAACTGTATAGTATCTGTTAACAGCAACAATAATTCTAATTGACGACATGCATACTCACTCATACATGTACACACCTTTTCGCGGCACTATTCTTTCCTTCATTGTCTATCACTATTGTATTTTGACGAATTCGATTGTCGTTTGTTTTTTTAATGTGTGCAGAATAGATTGTTTTGTATGACTCTGTAAACTGTGTTTCTGCTTGATGTGAATTACATTTTATACTAACTGTATTGTTATTGAACTATGCTAGATGATAACTAAGCTCACCCAGTATATTAGTAGTAAAAATACTACTAATAATACATGAGGACGAAGTGGATGTTCAGTAGAAAGTCAATTTTCCCAGTTTTATCTCTTTTAGACAAAACAAACGAATTTGTATTATATGTATTATGATGTGAACTGTTTTTCCAAGTGAACTAATTTTTTCTCTTCTCATCAACATAAATTGATTTTTATACCCAAAGTTGTTGTGTTTTTCGGTTTTTGATGTTGTCATGTAGTAGAATAGAAGTGTAATGTTTGAGTGATAAGTTTTTCGGCAGTACGATGTTACTAAGGAGACTGAGGAGGAACCCATCAATTGATTTTAATTTGAAATTCATTTTAAGTGTTGCTCGCTATGAAGTCAATAGATAACTGTGCAGTGTTAAACACAGAAAGTGAATCTGGATATTGTTAACATTCTCTTGATGTTGTTAGTGAGTCATGCGTAGAGTAGAACATAACATGTCTATGTAATGATGGAAGTTGTCATATTTCGTTAGTACAGTGATAAATAAGGATGATAGAAATAGCGTCAGTCAGTCACAACGTAGAAATAATATTAGTACCAATGATAGTTGTGAAAATTCAGTATGGAGAATAAGTGGCGTAAAGTGCACTGATCCGTGGGATAAGGTAGTATAAAATAATATGGAAACTGAATATCTGAGGGAAAATTGGGTGAATATCCCAGCATCATTTCTCCCAATTCTGAGTCATATCACCCGAAGTGTGTGACCACTGGTCGTGGTTATCACGATGACTGAAGCCCGTTAGTCTACATCTAAATATACGGCTCAATCGACAGCCAATAAGTCGGTGTGTTGATGCTACACTATGGTTTAAGTGCCTCCGTCTTCTTCCAATAAACTCCCCCAGCGGTTATCATCATGAGTCTAACTGTCAGTTATAAATGAATCGGGAGCATGGAAATTTGTGTGATTATTGGCATAGTTATAATCCATGGGTTCATTTGTAGCGAATAAATAGCTGAAACACGTAGAAATCACGAACTAGTCTTCTTCGTCTCAAGATTCTGCATCATATTTGTCGATTTGTAATAAAAGTGTATTGGCTCTTAAATATTTCTGTTAAAATCACTGAAGTTAATTATTTGTCTATAAAATCAATACTTACTGAAGATCAACAGAACTTACTGTTGGTATGTATGGTTGAGGATGTAAAATTTCCACTGTGGTGTGAAAAAGCGATTGGCTTTCATTGGTTTAACTTCCATCATGTAAATATTGAGACTATTCAGTGTTTTTGCATTTCAGCGGGAATGTTACGGTTCCGTTGACACCGAAACGATCAAATTCTATCCCCTAATAGCGCTGTATTTCGACGAAGTTTCATGTGATCCCTTATAATTCATTGTAACGTATACGACGCTTAATTAACCTGGTGTTGTTCTTGTCTGAGTGATCGAAAACAGTTTGTGCGACTAATATCTCGATAATTCACTTCTATTAACATCTGTGTAGTCGTGCAAGGCAGTGTAGTTTAATGTGAGTCTCAACGGTGTTTGTTTTTTCCTCTGATATTCTGTAAGTGGCCTGTTGATTTCCAGATTACAATCGGTATTTAAGTGAGTGTTGTAATCCATTGATGGTCACATATATTGTCTGTCCCCGATGTGTGGGGGTGAAAGCAAACGTGATTGATCAGTGAGGGTGGGCAAACAGGAACTCAGCTTACGGACTATTTTCCCCCATTTGACAACCGATTTGCTCTATTATGATTGATTTGTTTGCAGTAATCACTCATCGACCAATTTGGGAGTGGTTAAATTTTTCTCACAATTTCATAGTATTTAATTATGCCACTATAATCTGTATGTATGAGGAGTTTCATTCATCAAATATCGAATAATATCAGAATGTATTCTTTGAGTAAAGTAATTCCGGACATCTGACCTTCTGTCGGTGACAGGGAAATACAGTCAGACTACTATGAATGACAGAGTTGTATTTACTTGGATTCATCAATGTCGTAGTAGAAGAAACAGAAGGTTTCCACCCAGCTCTTGTCTTCTGTAACTCTGTATAGTTCGGTTGGTTAAATATAGAAGTGTATGTTGATAACGGAATTGGACAGCAACACACGAAAGTCTTCACCACTACTGAACTATTCAAGTAAAGTATCTTGTGCTTTCCACCTGTAATTCCTACTACTACTGCTGCTGCTACTGTTCAGTAAAGTTTTCAACCAACCGTAATATTCTATCTATGTAACGTAGATTAGATTGATAACTGAAAACTGGCTCATCATTATTCACATAATTGTAACCACGAATTTATACCCGTTAGTAATTAGGTTGGTTACTTTATAAGATTCAATAATCATACACAATAATGTTTTGGTGAAATTCTCTTGGAATCACTTTGTGATTGTGTGTAGTTCATATCAATATGTATATGTAGAATGAAGCACATACAAACACAATAGGGAGGTACATGTATACACACAAACAGATTATTATTAATATGGTTATTATCTTTGTTGAGCACATCAATCAATCAACATGATCGACCGATCGATCAAATATTCATCGGTACTATGATACATCTGAAAATCGATTGAATTTATCGATCTTCCCTTTGAGTGATAGTGTCAACGTCATCTTACTTGCTTTATTTAACCAATCTGTTATTCGAACCAGTGATAGTCATCACAACCGTAATTTTTCCTTTAGTGGTATCAATGAGAGTACACTATGGTGATGACACTGTATACACACATCTAATTCATATTTTCAATGTAGATCATTTCAGGTATTTGAATTATTCACAAAATCTCTAATAAGAACAACAGAACATTCATGTAACCAGTAATTATGAAGTGAACTCATTCAGGACAGAATGAATTCGAAAGTATTTGATGAATTATTGATTGGTTGACATCATATTATGTAATACTAAAATTCCAATCCTGAAATTCATCTAAACCTTTGTGTATTGGTATATATGTGGTGTATGCTACTTATGTCTGTTGATAGTATGTAACACCAATCAGGAGAGGGGTGTATGGAAAAAGGTGATTATGTACGTCGAGTGAGGAAAACAGATACAGAAATAGGAAGGAATTGTGACTTGGAGGAATCTTGTAGAATGTGAAGGATAAATGACGGGAATTCGCAAATGACGTATGCTATGTATGGTTATCATATTTCAGCAAGAGATTCTGCAGTTGTGTTGGGGCGGTAAGTAAGTCGCCAAAGACAATAGCTCTGTAGGTTTTCGACATTTTATGCTGATCACATTAGTTTTAATGGTATCACCTACCTGAATAGTGCTCGATCATGCATCCGCACTAGATCACCAATGGGAAGGCCATGCTCAACAACCCCTGCAATCACTAGTCAACCTAGATCAGTCCATCCTCGATATATTGTTAGTCTGTCAAATATATCTTCGAACCTCTTCGCTTCTGACTTTTGATTTCACTAGGTGGGTGCGATTCATAGAAGAAGGTTTTACTGGTTAAGTCGTTGTCGAATACCTGTGGCATCTTCAGTGTGTTCTCGTTCACTACATATGTAATCTTATAGGATTTGAATAGTTGTTGACAATGTGATGTTGATGAAAAAGTAAATGAATTTCTGAACTCAAATGCATTTTGATGATGATTGATGTGATTATTTGAGCTGAAGTTTCTAAATTGTAGTTTTCTTAGTACTTTGAAGACCTAATCACACAAACGATGGTAATACAGATATATATTAGCACGAGCAGTTACGAAAAACAGGGTGCGACCACAACCACGTAGGCCAGTTCGTGACGCGCCTTTAACCGATGCGCGTTGGTTGTTTTTTACCTTGATGGGGATCAATTCGCTGTTCAACATTCAATGACTCTAATGCTGAGTGAATTGGCTGGTGCTCAATGACATTTCACTGGTCTCACAAACTTCTTATCTATTTTCGTATCGTTTTGTCTTTATGGCACAGCTATCTATTCTAAAGGACATCTGTGCCATACTGTACGTTGATTGTGACTGACTGATAAAGATGCCACAGTTATACGGAGATTAGAAATGCCTTTACACGTGACAGCTTTATACGAACCCACTCAAATCAGAAGTCAGAAATGTATGGGTTCAAGGATTTACGTGGAAAATTATAAATATATTGCTAAACCTCTGGTCTAAGCTGGCTGCAAGGGATGTGTAGCAAGGCATGCGGTGTTGTGATCTGGTTTGGGTGTGTGACCGAGCGCCTTCAGCTAGGTGCGTCCAGTGAAACTAATGCCATTATAATCAAATGTCGGAGACTTACAATGCTATTTATTTTGGGGATTTATTGACCACTACACCTACAAACGTTCTACTTTGGAAATAAAAAACTAATCCAAGCATAATGATACAATTTTCGGAATTCATTCACTAATAGTTTGAATGAAACTAAGGCAATCAACTGTGCTGGACGGCCATTTCGTCTTACTGTGGGATTCCTCAGCAGTGCGCATCCACGACCTCGCCAGCTGAGGGGTCTCACATTAGAACGAAACGGACGTCCAGTGCTTCCAGGTTTTCCCTGGTGGTCTAGATTCAATTGACTCACGCTTTCAACTATGGAAATACAAAATCTTCACAAAAAACCCCTTCTGATAATTAACTGTACTTTCTTTGGCTAAGGATACTGAATTGAAACTAAAGATGTTTTGTAATAATGAAATAACAATGGTGAATATCGAGAACAAAGATCACAAAATCTATAAAATCTAATGGATATACAAATTTAGTGGGGATAATTCTGTATCCTTTCAATGTTTCCAGAAAATTCTCACTCTCATAAACAATGAGAATCAATTTGCTTTCAATTGCAAACATAACCTATTCTTATGAATAGAAGTTCACACCAATATTGGTTTGAACCAACCTACTTATCGTTGTCATGTTGATGATAAGAACAAATAGTAAACAAACCTATTCTCTGTGTAAAGAACAGTGATGTACAATGGATTATGTAAGTTATTTATTCATTATAAAAGAAATATATGAGTTGGTAACTTTATGAATGACTTGTGTGATAGGCGATAGGTGGAAATATCACATGATGTAATCATTTCAAAATGGTATTATCAGAAGGGGTTTTTTGGAGATTTTAGTAATTTTATAGAGTTGAGATCATGACCACCATGGAAAACCTGGAAGCGCTGGACGAAGGTTTCGTCCTATTATGGGACTCCTCGGCAGTGTTCATCCACGGCTCAGTGGTCTATCAGTTAAATGCTCTGGCGCGAGACTGGTAGGTCCTGGGTTCGAATATCGGGGGTGCGCATTGCTGGGGAGTGCCGTAATAGGACGAAACTGTCGTCCAGTGTTTCCAGGTTTTCCATGGTGGTCTAGCTTCAACTGACTCATGATCTCAACTTTATTCAATATGGTATTTCTAATTTTTATCATTGTTGGTGTCTTTTGTGCCATTATACTTATCGACTAGTTATTTCATTTATTGTTTGATGCACCTCTCAGTAATTGTTTAGTGTAAAATGTCACTGAGATTATATGTTGACTTAATTCTATCGATTATTTGTTGTGTGTGAGTGTATGTGTGTAATCACTAGTCTAGTTATTCTGGTTTACTGTATGTAACAGTAGGTAGTTTGAAGAAAGTATGCGAATGCTGTAGGCTTATATATCGTTGTTATTCATACTTGAGTTTAAAGTGAATTAACGATTTGGAAGAAATCGGTGGCCATTCTAGAGAACTCTGTAGTTAGAAGTATTGCCAGTGAAGTGTTTAAACTTCGTTTCACCTGATTTAGAGTTTAAACAACAAACGATACCGACAGTCTCTCAGGAGATGGATATATGTCTTCGTAATGATTTCCGTGAAACCAGACTACTTGTCATATTCCTTTCACCATTCAAAGTATTACTGACAATTCGTGAATAAGGAATTGAAAAAAACGATTAAGGAACTTCATATTCATCCCATACAGTGTGATCTATTCACTTAATATATTCTTATGCTTTCTGGACAGTTATCTTATTCTTTTCCTTATTCTGGTTGCATATAATGTCTCTACTTTGTGATTATCGTCTGTCCAAGTACGCTTAAGAATACTACTTCAGTTGATCAAATAACTTTTAGATACATTATTAGGCTTATATATTTAAATAACAATTGATTTTCTTCCCTAAATTAAGTGGACGTTAATTTGCTTTAGACGAATGTCTACACTAGGTACTTTTCCAGTGTCTGCTCTATAGGACTTCAATACATCTCGTTCAAGATTATGTAACTGGCCGGACTAGAATGTAAACATATTTCCAAGCTAACAACCGACAACAAGCACAATTATAGTAAGGTTAGAGAAATATACAAATTATGTGATACCTGTGAGACTATTTACTAGTCTGACTAGGCAAACGACCATTCGTTATTTTCTTCACATTCAAACCACCTCGTTCACAAAGTTTGTTTATATGAATTTACTTTTGAGTCCATTTGAAAAAAAATTTGTTTTTTAACGTCAACTTTATGAACTTTGACTATCCTTTGATTTTAATTCATTATCTTTCAGTTCAACTCATGTTGGAAGTGGTGTTTGCTGAATTTCAAGCGTAACACGTAAAATCACCATTGACAAAGATTTAGCTTTAGATGACTGACTGCTGTTTTTTTTTCTATCATGCAGTTGATTCACATGTCTGATAATTAGTCTATTCTCAAAGTTCACTTCATACACTACATAATCGAGTTTTTATTTATCCATCCAAATATCCATTTTGGACTTCGTGTTCAGAAATCATGCGCATAATTTAAGTAATCTGTTTTATATGCTCGAATATATCAGACAATTCCCTTTCGTATTTTTAATAGTCCACGAGTTTTATCTCCCAGAATCAAAATATCCAGAGACATTCTATGACGTTATGGTGTTTGTATGAACCATTGATTCCTTTGTATTGATGAGTACTTGATTTCCAATTCCAAATACAATATATTCGTTCGTCTTCATCTAATAATTCTTGATTAAATTGCTTGACTTCTGAGATTATTAGTTTATACTATAATTTAAATACTTTTAAATATCACAGAGGTTGATAAAGTAATAATTTGATTTGTGATTTTCCATCCCTACAGTTCAGGCTTGGTGTGAACTCTTTCATCCGACAATAGACAATGGTCATTCAATTATTCAGTTAAAATGTAAATTATTTAGTGAATGGAACCCATTTAATAAGTATACTTTTATTTACTTGGTATTTAGCAACACAGTTTCTACGTATACTATTGATATCACTCGATGTCTTGCATCAACTTGCATTATTTTGACAGTATTCGAGACCGATACTTTATTTTTAAGGATTATGTACTGTAGATATACAGCTGATGCCGCTAATTTTTTGGTGTGGATAAGATTTCTACCTCTCTATTAAGCCAAAGTATTTTATATAAAGAAACGTCATATAAGAATAACTATGTCATATATTCAATATTTCTTCAGTACTTAGTTCATGTGACTATTCTAAGTGTCTAATTTTCGTAAAGTACATACAGTTGTTGTAATGTACTTGATATTCTCTCTTCTTCGCCATCAGTCGGAAAGGATTGACCTATTCATCTTCTGCTTTTTCACGTTCACAGAGAAGCATAACAAATATTCACCTATGAATTCCAGCTTCATGTCAGCTTTGTCGTATTCCAATTTAAAGCTGTCAAATCTACCACCTAACCCCCTGGTTATTTTTTTCAATTTAGAATCTAATGTTAATCGATTTAATACATCGTAAAATCTTATGTTGTATGCCGGTCATAATCTGACCTTTTTTGAAGTGAAATGAAATTTTACCCGAAGGTAATGTTGTTGTGACTTGATCAAGGTCGTCGCCAATTTGTTATGACTTTACAAAATAAACAAAAGACGTATGCTTATTCGTTAGCTATTTTATGTCCGGCTTTTATCACTTGAATTATCCACCAATGGAAATATGACTCTTCCTACCTTAACACTGTGACAATCAATAACGTTCGACCAGTATGAGTAATCTAGCGTCCTTATTGGTCCATTATCCGCCTAGCCATTTTACTTGAATCCAGAACACCAATGACAGCTTATGATAAGCGAATCGTTTACTTCAAGCATACTCGGTTTATGTACCAGACAGACAGACCATATCACACCATAAAATAAAAAAATAATATTTGTACAAGATCAGGCCAAATTTGGCTGTGAACGTGGGATACAATAATCGATAAACCGAATATAATTAAAAGACAGTATATCGTATAATAATAATCCATAGAACAAATGAAGTTTATAATAAGATGAATAAAGATATACACAACCTAATCACTGAATAATAGTCCATTACCAGATCTCGGAAGATATACACAATTTAGTTACTTAATAGTTAGACCATAAGAATATATATAATAATCGTCCACCCATAGGTCCTGGGAGTTACTCGTACTTATATCTTCGCTAGGATATAACAAATGTAGCGGTGAATAGGTCCTCGAAATCAATAGCTATGCAAGTCTCTAGCATTTGATGATGACCGCATTAATTTCACTGGAAGCATGTAGCTGAAGGCGCTCGGTCACGCATCCAAACTAGATCACAACTGGGTATACCGTGTGACAAATCCCTTGCATCTGTTAGTCAGCTTAGATAAGACGCTTCTAGACGTATTAAAAGATTTCCAAGTACAAGTTCGAACCCCCTCACTTCTGATTGAACTGTGTTGGCATACTTCAAGTATAAAGGTATTACTGCTAAAGGTGCTGTCAATCTCAGAATACATGTGGCATCTATAGTTATTTATAATAATCCCTTGTGGTATAATCATAATGAACTTATTAGTCTATTATTAGATAATCTGTCGAGTCTGTGGCCAGATTCAAAGAAGGTTATCATTGACAAATGTGCTCTTGTTTCTCATACGGATAATGACGATGATAATGTTGCACGTTACCTGGCTATCACGGTTCGTGGTCATGCTTCCAGATCAATGAGTGAGCGTGTTTCACTTGGAGCTTTGTGCTTAGTGAAATGTACATCTTCCAGTATTGAAATGATGTCAGTTGTTTCAGATGTATCAGCGACCTGTTTAACTTCACATCCGAGTAAACCTTGGTTAGCTGTGGGATTGAAAAATGGAACAGGTTGGTTTGTGATATAAATAAAAGCAGTTTCATATTAATTTTGTGATGTTGTTTTATTCAGCAGAACGCTTTCTGAAATCATCCGTCCATAGTTTTGAGAAGAAGGTTACATTTAGAACGGTGACCACAACATTGATGAAAAAGTGTTTTTACTAGTTGTTGGTTGAACTGGTCTGTCGTAATTGTCGAGTCGAGCCACATTGGTTGTAGAACCCATTTCTCTAGGTCTTACAGTGTTAACAATGTCCGTTGAGTAGTGGCGAAACTTAAAGCAGTTCGAGGATGAAGTGGTTCTGCTGACTGTACAAGAGTGTAGTGCGAGTAAGTTGTTTTCCTCAGAGAACCAGCATCTGTTGAGATGCTGGTTCTCACAACAGAAGGAGAGGTCTAGAAAAGGTGGGGACTGAAAATAGTACACTTCATCTCATCCTACAGGCTTACGTCTTTTGTAAACATTCTCTCAGTTCTTTTACCTGTGAATGACACTGACGCTTATCAGTTTTTGAGATCAAATTTTATTTGGACGGTAGTGTACATATGCAGATTGGTAGCGCTTACAAGATCTAAATGTCAGCAATCAATGTTGAGGAGCACTTCACTGAGCATTCAAAGGACTCAACTCTTTGGAGCTTATGGAGCAGTTGTAGTCTTGGTTAAATGCGGTGCCCCAGATGATCACTGGGTTTTACAACAACACTTGAAGATGGAAAGTATTATTTTGATGTGCGTAAGCATCTCGGTTAAATGATTATGAATAAGAAGAGAGCAAATTAATAAGTACATCAAGTCGATAGTCGACATTGTTCGTTTATCACTATAACTCAAGGGATCAATTAAGAGTGTGCAATCATAGCTGGAGAGTTTGGATGCGTTTAGCAAGAAATGAAGACAATTCAATCTCATACAGAAAAATGTTATCCAAGGCATGTAAAATTGCAGGCGAGATCACAACACCAAAAATGCTACAAGATATACTGTGATGGGTTATCCTGGAGAACTAGAAAAACTGAGGATTGTATTTATCTGCGTTACTGTTCACTAGGATTCCTCACTCAATGATCAGCATTAACGAAAAAATAATACGGTTATTATTTTGATTGGTGCCTTTCCACGATCCTACATCTGAATTGAGCTATATAACTTCGAAATGCCAGAGATAGTGAACAAGTCAATGCAGAGAAGGCTACGAAGAAACGAACAGGAGTGCAAAGAAGAAGTAACTTATCAGGAGCTCGAAAATGAGTGTGTCGACAAAAGCATCCATAGAACTATAAATCAACAAACCACAGACTAGGTTAGGGCCTAATTTGCACATCGTAGAAGATTTCATTGTGAAAATGAAGTCGACGATTGGCTGTAAGAAGCACCTAGCAAATCTAGTAAGAAAGATAAACACCATACACTGTTTGTCAAGTCGGCTGCGGAGGAGATAAGAACTTCAGCTTAGAGAATGAAGGCTCGAAAACTATCAAAACAGATCACTCAGATAGGTCAATCATTTTGCAAAAGTTGAAAAAATCTCTCGAAAAGGACAAGGTTTAAGTTTGATCATTATCCTAAACATCTTAACTCACTAATGACAATTTAACTTTCGAAAATAGTAACATGAATTCTAGTGTGCAAGTTTTTCAGAATAGAACAGGAAGCGAACTTCGAAAGTTGTCAGTCAAGTCACTTTTGAAAAGTCTCTTTGACTTCCAGTGAGGAGAGAAGTTTTCTATCGCAAAATTCGCACAGACTGAATGGAGTAGTGAATCTTTCAAAATTTGATCAAAGAATTTCCGTTATATCTAGACAGACAATGAGCTCTTCATGGAAATCAGTATTCTGTGGAGTACCAAATTTATCGGCTGTGGGATCTCTGCTTTTATTACTACTGTAAGGCCGATTTTAAAGGTTTCATGCATGAAAAACCCTCCATGCATATATTTGCAACTTGTTCTTAATGGTTTCTTTACTTGTACATTATTGTTAATCATTTTGATGCCCTTTGAGATTGCAGTGTTTCATTTCATAATAGTTTTCTCATATTTTCTGTCACTTTCGCTGAGTTTCAATGTTTCTTCCTGAACTGTATCTATGTTGTTTTAATTTATATTTTATCTTGGCGAATGCCATATTGATTGTTCCCTTTTTGATTGTGTTGCTTGATTTGACCGGGATCGTGCATTTTCGTTGTGAATTGAAGCACTTCCCCATAATTGGAAACACTTTGTGTTATAAAGCGATAAATAATTACCTTTTGAACGGATTTTTACTTGATCTATCCAGAAAGGATAGAATAACACTTTTTTGGTGCGTTTGGTAGTTTTCTTATATTTTTTATCAATTTGTCCATTTATTGTAATTTAGATCGATTATTGTGGGAACAATTATTAGTTGAATAATTGAGTGGTAATATTTGCTTAGGTAAAACTGTACATTTTTGTTTATGATGAAATTTAGAACCGTTGTTTCTTCAATCACCTCGTTCTGACCACGACCGAGGCGCACGAGTGTCTTTACTTTCAGACAGTCATTCTTCACCCAAACCTAGTTTGTATCTTATAACTACATATGAATGAACACACACATATCGTTAGTTTGACAACGTAAATAGTTGATAAAACTTAACTAGGGATGCCTATGCATTTCTCATTCACACTGGCCTAGGTTTCGGGACCATACTGTCTACAATGTAGTTAATGTCTAACAACATGCACATTTACGATGCAATTATGAAATACTAGATGTCCATGCCATTATTCTTGTCTCAAAATGATCTAGGAATAAGAATGAAACTACATCTTAATATGAAAGCAGTATAAATAATGGGTTCGGAATGCTTCGGGCCTCATGACGAACATTTACCAACTTGGAAGCAAATATGTCTCGTAAAGTAAGCACAACCTTAATGAAATCCAAACACGTAAACTGCATTGAGACTGCGAACCCTTGTTTGAAGGATGACTTCGATCTCTTGAACAAGGTAGAAAGGACAGATATCTTTGGAATTCAAAACTCAGATGTTTGCTATTTATTGTGCAGTTTGAAAAGTTGAACCTCTCAACTTAGTGTTGACTCTCTATGAATTGCAATCGTAATATATATATATATATATATATATATATATATATATATATATATATATATATATATGATAGGTACAAGCCATTTTGACTGACAAAGGCAATCATTTACACAAAAGGGTCTACAGATGAGGCACTACCGAATTTGTGTTATTATATACATAAAATGGATGAGAATAAAGAGCATGATGTTCGCGCAGATATACCAGAGGTTTAACAAACTGCGTTTATTCATTAACACTATACTGTAAACTCACAAGTAATATAATCTATTCAAGAGTGGCATATATTGGCGTGCAGTCTGTGGCCTTGGTGAACGTAAATTTGGTTCAAATGTTATGTTCAGGTGTTAAAAGTGTTATGGTGCTAAGTCCTTGTGCAATAGAAGTGTTGAATAAGTTTATGGTTGTTATAAAGTAACTATTAAAGTGTGAGTGGTGCACGCTGTGAAGTTGATAAACGTGCACCTTTGGCTTGTGTTCCTAAGGTAAAAGAAAGCTGAGTGTCCATGCACAGCGAAGGTGACGCTGAAAAAGCTCAACAAATGATAAGCAGAGTCTTTAGATAGAAAACTTCAACAAAGCCCAATCGTTTTCAGTTAAAGATGCAAATGTCTGGCAAATCATTAGATTGAAGGCATACTACCTGCTGTCACTAGGATGATTTGTAGTCTAAAAGTCGTCGGATAAAAGACTAAGTGAAAATGATTTTGGACCTGATATGTTTTTTTCTTCCCACTTGATCGAGACAACTCAAAGGACATAGCATGGGAGATCAAGAGCAATGAACGAAAAGAACGCTGGTACAGTACAGATTATCACATGGTATCATCAAATATTGAAACATACTAACTAGAGGAGTATTGTTTAAAAGTACAAATGAATGGTTTAGGAGAAGATTAGAAATCTATAGAAACTTACTACCAAAGGAATCATTGAATCTGCCCGCCTACAGCCCCTAAGTTGTTTCCGAATCTGAAAACCTGAGTAACTATCAAACTTACTCAGATTATTCTAATGATCACCAACGTAGATGATCTTTGTGGAATGATTAAGGGCATGCTGAAGTTAGACGGAAATTATGTGATCAACCGGCTTTCGTCGAAGTCACACCCTACGGTCAGCACCTGACATAGATTACCCTCTTGTCACATTACTATGGCTGCTTTAATGACTGTACAACAAAAATGATAATAAAAATATAATGTAGTATATTTCTGCAAGGGCATGTACACGCCATTTTCACAGACATGATCTACTGGAATAGATCAGTTAGCGTTCGTGCAAGAGACAAAGTGGCCCATGGATCAGTTCATGGTGCGAAATAAACTAATGAAAGTTAGTTATCCTCGACCTTAACAGGGATCAGTGAATTGTTAGACACTCACCGTCCCGATTGCCGGACGATTTGAATGGGGATCAGTGACATTTCTTCGGCCAAACAAGTGCAACCGATGTCCTAGACTTTGCGTCACGGTTTGCCGAAAATCTGGAATCGTGTAGACACACCAACGGGCGTACACAGGGAATTTAACTGAGGTCATAACAAAGGCAAACGTATTTCCTCACATTAGGTGAAGAAAATCCGATTCATTTATCTAAACTTGATTCCAGACAATTTAAAACGCACGAACTGCCTAGGCGTAAATCCCACAATGATTTAGTGCCCTCTTTCTTAAAAAGAAACAAGTCTTTCAGATCAAGTGTACAGAAGGGCAACGAAGTGGATGCAACTTCTGACATATATCTTATGGAGAAGTTCTTTGAACCTTGGAGTTTCCTCGCTTAGCTGTAGATGAATAGGAAGTGGCTTGGTAATGGCCTTCAGCATAACAAGTATGTCAAACCACACCAAAATGTGGATCCTACCCATAATATCACCAACACGTTGATCCAATTAACCCTTGAAGGATCACACATCGAAGACCACACTCAGATATATTCCAAATTTTTCAAACTGGAAGTTGCTCCGACTTGGGATGATCTCCAAGCTGAATTGAAATCAATCCTCTCAGTGGGTAGCTTGAAGAGAATACATGGTAAAAACTCACTCACAGAATAACATCTCAATCTGGGACTAGCTGTATCTGATACAAGTCAAATAATTTAACGCGGTTGTCATTATTACATATAGGTAGCCACTTTCTACTTCACTCATTATCATCAGCGTTTCTCCTTTCTACACCTCAACCTCGATCTTCCTTCATTCTCGTCAAAACCATTTTATTGACATATTTACCTCTTGGAACAATTACTATTAGCAATCGAATCATCACTCTGTTATTTTCACATTTCAACCGACCAACTTTCTGCCTAGTGATGTTATAGATGCTGGTATACAGGATCTTTAATGTCTTGGGAAATAAGAATTCACTTGATTTACAAGATATGAAAATTTACAACCAAATACGTAAACCTACTAGAATTAATGCGATCTAATGGCTAGACTACTACTACTAAAAGATGCATAGAACCATACTGAGACTTTAAGAAAAGAACGCAAAGAAATTGACCAGTTTATACAAGCTTGTGACGAAGATATCAGATATTGAAGCTGGATTTTTAGCCTGTGGTGAACCAAATATGTCAATTCCAAAATAATGATAAAATTATTGGAAACAAAGCTTAGCTTGCTAATATACTGAAATATAAATTATACACGAAGAGAATACTTTGCGTTAATTAAATCGTAACGAGGCGTGTCTGAGATTTTTTTGGTCTGGTAACCCACAATTATAAGCATTCAGTGACTCCAAACATGATTGATATGATCCAAGACGTCTGTCCATACTAATCACCTAATGAGAATATCAGTGAGGTTTATAAACAAAGCAAATATATAAAAATTCTGTTACTGTGACAGATGACGAATGAGAAAGAGTGTATATGTGCAACAGTGTATTTGTCAGCGATAATCGGTGCCATGCCATGAGTGTGTAGAACGTGAACGGAAGATGATGGTCCGGACTTTAAAAAAAACAATTCCACAGTTGTAGAGTGTTATTCTACAAATTATGCAAAATTAAGAAAGATAAATGAGGATAGAAACAAAAACTAATTGAAAAATAAGTTTGTGTTAATTATCTCCACACTCTCTAACGCTTTCCTGAAGGTCACTTATAAACAACTCTAATTTAAAAATACCCGGAAGTGATTTGTAAGTCACACCCTGAGTTTTCTTGCCTTCAACTCTCAGCATAAGCAAAAGGTAGTTTAATAGACATATAAGTTGTGAATTATTAAGCAATGATTCACAAATGTAAGGTGTCAAAAGCATCAACTTTCTGGATATTGTAGCAACACATATGATTGAACATAATTATTGTCCTTCAAATCTTTATGAAGCATAACTTCTAAATACATTAATATGGATATGCATATATAGAAATATTACATAAATCATGAGAGTTTACGAGCCGGTGCTAGAACGAAAACAGATTATACAACCAAATATAATAAGTAAAATGCACAAATCAGATGTGAGATGACAGAAACACTAATAGTGGCAAGGATAATAAGAGCCTTATCTAATGTTTAAAAATGCGAAGCGCAGAAACCTGTTGTCAAGTGCCATGTCTAATGTTTTTCCATAATTTTTCGTCTCGATCGGTCTATCTAACTTAAGATAGCGAGGTAAACGTGAGCTACCATTACTACAATAATACAAAAATAATCATCTGTTTTACAACGACTTTTCATAAAGCTTCGGACATTACATATTGAAATCCTCGCTAAATTCATGCTTTTTACGTATATTCCAATGTGATATTAGAAACTTATAAGGTGTATGAATACTGTTACAATAAATGTCTTAAATTTATTTACCTGCATTTAATAGAAAAATTAAAATTTTCGTTTTGAAGGCTACCATTTTTTATAAACACTCCACACCCGGTTGATAGAAAATGTCAAAATCAGAGGAATCATATTTGCGGAAAGTAATGATCCAAACCCTTAAATTATGACAACTTAAAATATTACACGCCTTCTTTTTGAAGTAGGTATATGCTGAAAACACTTTGCGAATAAAAAATACAGTTAGATAATATTCACTTTGTAACATTTTTCGTTTGGTATGACCAACAGCTGATATATATATGCCCTAGATTTCAACATATTATGGTTTTATTTTAGTAGGTATATTAAAACTATCCATAGAATTCTTGAGTGGTGTGAGGTAGATGATATGAAGTTTGAAACCGTGTCCTTTATTATCTCGTCTAGAGTTTGTTCAGAAATTCTGGGCAATAGGAGAAATGGTTTGGGGAATGAGTTTCCTTTGTTTTATAATAGCCACTGGAAACTAACGATATACCCGATATTTATTAAGATAAGGAACTTTCCGCATGTTTACATGCATTATTGTTAAACTAGTTCTACTTTAGTGGAATACAATCATAATGTAACAGTTTTTTACTTAAAGCCTGTCATAGGACTGTTTTTCTACTCTATTGATCCTTGGAGTAAAGTTGTCTATAGGTAGCTGCACTATAACTTAGATATCGGAATTAAATATCTGAATAAGATAAATAGTGTGGAACATGTTTCGTATTTAGGTAAAAAAAGAATAAAGATAATGTTTTTTAGTAGAATATAAACACTTAATCATATAATTTCAAAACATTATACGTAACCTCTAAGGAGTATTTTGCACGTTGTTTCTTGTTTGTAAGTTCGTTTAGAAGACCCTTAACCAATTCTTCACCTTTATGTAAAAGATTTTAAAATGTTTAAGTAAACCAATAAGACCTAAATATGTTCCATAGATAGAAGATAGTGAACTAAGATACATTCGAAATTTCGTTACATTCATAATTAAGATTATTTTTAAGTTGTTTTTGTTCCAATTTTCATCTTTCCTCTTAATTTGATAGATGCTGATAAATTTTGGTAATCCATAAATTTCCTGGATTTTATTATTTGGACAAAATTTCTGTCTTCAAAGAAATTAGAATGAAGAAACATTCACACGTATATGATTCACAAAACTCTAAAGAATTTCAACACAGTGTATCAGTTAATTCTTTGAAGTCAGACTCATCTACACCAACATTCCACGAATGTTTTTCTTCAGTTGAACAGCTGTCTAGACCTGTGTCTAAACTGAACGAAATAATTCAAGACCTTATTGACTATAAAGTAAGATGTACAGAGATTTGTTGATGGAACATTTCCAGCAAGCCTAATGTTTCATGCAAAGCTTTGAATTTATAAAAAGTATATTTCGTTTAGTCAATATGTTAGTTGCTTTTAAAAATGGGTGATTATCATTTCATCTAAATCGATTGGTATGGTAACTAATATTGCTTGGTACTTTGTGTACGCGCTTACATTGAATTACTGAAATATTTACATTGAATGAATACTTTTCGAAACTAAGATCAAATCTTACAGGAAATGCTTTGTACACTAACTTGTAAAATTGATATTTAGCAATAACCCTTAAAAACTGTCAAGGGATACACAGATGGTTGACTCAATCTAACCTTCCCAATGTTATGTAAAAGGTTATAACTTTGAATTCTAATATCCAGGTTATTGGTTCTCATCATAAAAAGACTTTTAAAATATTTGGTCGAATTTCCTGTTATAAGTTTACTTCAAAAGGCTTATGTGTATTATTAATTATTAGTTCAATTACACCATAAACGGATATGAACAGTTTAAATATAGACCTACTTGTATGAGTACATTTAAGTTCTATTTTAAACCAAATTTTCCACTGCTTCTTCAGCATCCATAAATCAAATATCATATCATAATAAGGGCTAAATTGTTCAATTGGATCGAAATATTTTTCCGTTTATATTTATTTATTTATTTAAACAAATAAATATTGGTACAAAGAAGCACCAGAAATATATGCGCCGCACAAATCTCATTTGATTTGTGTGGGGGCTGTGATACTGCCTAGGTGCCCAAACTGAAGCAGGTGGTTTTCTTAAGGGGCCAAACCCGGAGCCTTTGACCCTAATAGTCTGATCCACAAGACGATAGTTAAACATACCTGCGAAATATACTGAATCAAAGAATCGGTGTGAAAATCAACACTGGAATGTAGATAAATCTTCTTGAAGTACCCGAAATAGGACTTAGAATATCTGTTGGATTTCACCACTAGCAACATTCCATCTTTTTTATGTAAAACGTGTGACATGATGGATAAGTTGAAGAGAACCACACAGAATACATTCAACTGTCAAACTAAGACTGATCGGAATTTAGCCAAGAATAACAAAGAATTAATTCAAAAACCTAACAACATAAATCAAATAACTTAACTGCATTTATAAGTATTCATATCTGAGTCAGTACTTTAACGGTCTGATCCACAAGGCAGTGGATCATCGTGAGGAGATGCAGTCCCATGGTAGCCAGCGATCAAAGATTGATTCATACACCAATTGTTTCCTTAGGATACTGGAGTCAGCTAATGTGCACCACTGGTTTGGAATCAAGGTTTTCCAACTCCCTTACGTGGACATGGAGTGTCCACAAATGGCGTAAGAATCAGTCGTTGGTCACCGGCTACCATGGAACTGCATCTCCTCACAATCCTCCACCGCCTTGTGGATCAGACCGTTAAAGTACTGACTCAGATATGAATACTTATAAATGCAGTTAAGTTATTTGATTTATGTTGTTAGGTTTTTGAATTAATTCTTTGTTATTCTTGGCTAAATTCCGATCAGTCTTAGTTTGACAGTTGAATGTATTCTGTGTGGTTCTCTTCAACTTATCCATCATGTCACACGTTTTACATAAAAAAGATGGAATGTTGCTAGTGGTGAAATCCAACAGATATTCTAAGTCCTATTTCGGGTACTTCAAGAAGATTTATCTACATTCCAGTGTTGATTTTCACACCGATTCTTTGATTCAGTATATTTCGCAGGTATGTTCAACTATCGTGTCCAAAGCACGACAAAATTCGAGTCTTACATACCCAATCGAGCTATACTGGTAGAACAATCGTTCCTCAAGGTCCTACCATGCCAGACAGGTTGGTTGAAGGGCGGTAAGACTAAAAGCAGCACTTCCAAGGTCCGAAGGCTAAGTCGCACTGCTGACTGTACAGAGGTGTGACAGCAGTAAGGTGTTTCCTTCAGACAACCAGCATAACAACGATGCTGCCTTCCGACAAAGGAAGAGTGAGGCAAGAAAAGGTTGGCCTTAAAAACGCACACCCCTGATTATCTCACGGATTCCCGTCTCTGTCGGTAAGGTCTCAAAATGTACGGAGCTAACACAAAAACTACCCACAAAAAGATCGTGTGTGACCGACCTCAATCAGTTGTCCTTTGGGCACTGCGGTCACGCTCTCAGATCATTATGACCACTTCTAATCCGATTTCCTTTTCAGGTACATTTAGAAGAACCCTTCCACGGTGTTGGCAACCGGGAAGTGATAACTGCCCTCATACTTCTAACAGCATTCAAGACAACTGTATTCATAATCAATCTCCTATTTTTAACACTGGACCTATTTTTATATTATCACTAGGCATATATTGCTTTTATTATATTTTATGTCTTTACAAAGAATGATGCTGAATTTGCGCTTATGACTGCTTCAGATTTGGCTAAACGCCTTCAGTCTAACATTTCTGTCGATGAAGCATTACAAGTTGTATCATATATCCATAAATTTGCACGTTATGAAGCTGCACGTTGTGGATTGGTGAATTGTTCTGAGGTATGTTGAAAACTTGTGTTTTGTAAAGAAAATCAGGTTTCTTTTGTATAAAATTATTTCACCATGAACTTTCTTAGAGTAATCCAATGATTGAATGTTTTTCCTGTTTAAAACTCATTGTGTAACTGTGTTTCCAATAAGATTCTAATCCGTTCTCGGGAACTTCTATCGCTGTGACTGCTATTTTGATATTGTATTCGTGTTAAAATATCATGATGAGTCAATTAAGCTGTATTGTGGGAAATACCCATCTTATTCGGTCATCCCATGTCAAGCGATCCGATTGGAAACTAATAAAAAATAAAGTAGCAAACCTATGGTGCTAGGTCGAAGCTGTATTGCAGAGGGTACAAGGGCACGGGAAGACTGGGTATAACTCATGAATGGCAAATCGTATAATAATAGTCTACGGGTCAAAATAAAGCTTATAATAACAGGGACATGAAGATGAATAGTTTATTTCTTTCTTTATTTAAATACATACATATTTTTACAAAAGGGCACCAGATACATATGCGTCACACTAAATAATGAGAATGGGAAGAGAAAGGGGGAAGATGCGTATATATAAAAGAGGAAAAAAAGGATGAAAAAAAGAGAAGAGTAATGATGGGGGGAACTGAAATGTACAACCAGAAGAACTCTCTCAGTTCAGAAATTTATAACTACTCTTTATGAAGAGTGTAAGAGAAAGTTACAGCAGGATCGCCACTGGCTTCTATTCTGAGCCATATCTGATAACGTCTCTAGCCACTGTGTTGCACCATCTCTTGGACCTCCGGCCAGGGAGTCGTGAAGGATCGACAGAAACTAGTGCTGTACAGCTTTCTTTCATACCACGATACCATGTCATACACTGACCACCTCTACTCTTTTTCCAACCAGTTCCAGCGTCGGCTTAACAATTATACAATAGGAATTATACATATCATATTGGTCCATAAATAGTTCACAAATTTACCATTCATTCACGGGATATAACATTCTGATTTTTAACGATTCCTTAGATAAGATATCAATCAGTGATGAAAATGATATTGAGCTTGGCTCAATCTCTATGCACGATTACTTTTACTAAATAAGTATTTCTACTATTTAGCTCCGTTTACATAGTCTGTTCAAATTGCTGCTTCAATGAACCAATGTAACTATAGTTATTCAATATTCAAATATATTTTTGTTCTATAGCTTGTTCGAGCTATTATTCACATTCTTCAGACAACTAAAAATGCTGATCTACAATCTGAAGCTGCACTAACTCTTCAATTGTTAACTAAAGCTTTAACTGGTGCTAAATTAGCCTATGAAGAGATTGGTATTTCACAATTAGTTGAAATGTTAAGGTAGGTCTACATACACATTTTTTATTTGGTCTGAAACAGTTGTCATCATTAAAAATTTATAGTTGTCATAGTATTCCTATTGACCTTTGTGTGATTACATGAAATATACGGTTGAACTAGTTTATCGTCATTAATTCCTTGTATTCCATATTGTCTTCGTCAATTTAGTCATTATATTTTGATTAGTAGAATCTGTTCATTAAGGAGAGATTTCTTTACAAGACCTGAAAATCTCCGATTCAGTTCTTGATGGAGCGATGACATAGGTAATGGTAAAAGAGAGTCCTATACTAAGACAATGCAATTTTCCAATGCTTCCTGGTTTTCAATAGTTTTCTAACTAAGATTAATTTATAATGTGAATTATGATATTCACACACTAGAATCGTTGGTCATGGTGATACTTGAGGAGGAAGTCAAAAGAGGAAGTTTAGAGTTGAAAATCTAGGTAGGTGAAATAATAAGAATTGAAGGGGGAGATTGATTATGAATACAGTGGTTTTGAACGCTGTTAGAGGTATGAGGATGGTTATCACTTCCTGGTTGCCCACACCGTAGAAGGCCGAGAGTGGGGAGAGTCCGCTCTCCCCCTTATAATGCTCTCGCATGTCCACGCGTATATAGCCTCTTCCAGGGAAGTCCTACTCACTGCTTTCTCGTGCCATTACTGTTGTTTACGAAATTGAGAAGACGAAAGGCGAATGTCTGACGCTTTAACCTGCTTCAGTTTGGGCACCTGGGCAGTATTACAGCCCTCACACAAATCAAATGAGATTTGTGCAGCGGATATATATCTGGTGCTCCCTTGTACCAATATTTATGTGTTTAAATAAATAAATAAATAAATAAAAGAGGTATCTGGAACGGACACTCGATTAGAGTCGGTCTTAATGACCTGAGAGCGTGACTGTGGTGCACAAAGTACAATTGCGTGTGGTCGGTCACATATTACCTTTTCGTGAGTAATTTTCATGACAGCTTATTACTTGTTAGGACCATATTATCGGAGATGGAAATCCGTTGGATAAGGCGAGGTGTGCATTTTTAAGATCGACCTTTTCTAACCTCACCCTTCCTTTGTTTGAAGGCAACATCGTTGTTGTACTGGTTGTCTGAGGAGAATATCTTACTGCTGCAACACCTCTGTAAAGTAAGCAGTACGACTTCACCCTCGGACCTTGAATTTACTGATTTTAGTTTTACTGTTCTTCAACCGACTTGTCTAACATGGTAGTACCTTGAGTAACGATTGTTCCAGCCAGTATAACCTAACTGGTTCATCACGATAGGCAAGCCCGACCACCACGTCAAGGTGGCAGCAAGGCTGATTGAGTAGTATATATTATCTTGGAAGTGGATCATTTCAACATACTGTTTCTTTTCTCTTCATTTTTAAACTTTAAGGCATCCATCAGAAGTGATGTATACAACTGCTCTTTATGTATTAAATCAATTATTATGGCATTTACCAAATTATTCACGTCCAAAATTTCGACAATGTAATGGTCAATTAAATCTGATTTATTTACTTGAAGAAAATCGTTTGGATGATTCAAATTGGTTATTAATTTGTTTGGATACATTACGTATGGCAGTTTATGAAAGTAATGAAACAAAGGTATATATATATATATATATATATATTATATTCACTTGCTATTGTTTTGTTTAAATCTTCCAATTGATGTTTAGGACTGCAGCTGATCAGTCTGTCATTGGCATATGTATTACCTCGATATAGTCTTAATTCACAAGCATTATAAGCAAAGATGGATATCAGGACTCAGTAGCTGAGTGGATAACGCAATGGCGTTTGAAGCGACAGTTACTGGGTTCGAGTCCCAGAGTGAACATTAACAAGTCTGAGATGCTGGTACATCCAGCTGACGAGTCCCAAATAAGACAAAACGCGCGTCCTGGATTCCACTGCTAGTCACTATCCATCTTTGCTTATAAAGTGTATATTAGTTATAGATTATTATTATTCTCTTTATTAGTATTAGTAGTACTATAGTATACTTTCTTAGTTGACTAATTTTGAATCACTAAAAAGTTGAATGTTAATGAATATCAGTTAATCATTTAATTGATTTGAGGTAATATGGTGGTTGGAGGTGGTCAACAGGAAACCCTGGACCCGGGTTTCGTGCTACTCGGCACTCGTCAGCAAGATGTACCTGTAATCTTGAGGGAACTGATGCTCCCTGGCGGATCCGATCCCGTGTCACTCAGCTTTATAGTCAGAGAGGTTACCACTGAGCTATTCGGCCTGCGATATATAGTGCAAGCAGTGTCGAGCCACCTAGACTGGTGGCCACATTGCAACTTGATCGATAGCATTTGATCAGCACTAAGAAGGACTTGACACGCATGACATTGATCACCACCCAGTGATCAATCGATTGTGACCATTTAATAGATTTTTTTGATAAAAACCATGTTTATGATAATCCACTTTGTAATGTCAACAATCCAGTTGTTTTAAACAACTGTGAAGATTTCAATAGTTGAGATCATGAGTCAGTTGATGCTAAACCACCATGAAAGACCTGGAAGCACTGGATGGCCGTTTCGTTCTATTTTGTGACTGCTCAGTGGTGTGCATCCGTAATCCCGCCTCGCGAGATTCGAACCGAAGAACTATCAGTCTCGCGCGCGAGCGCTTGACCTCTAGACCACTGAGCCGGTCAGCATCCAACGGTGTTAATGTCTAACTTCAACCAATTTACAAAATTGAGCGACACATCCACCATTGTCTTAAGTAGTGAGTTACTATCTAACAACAGATCTGGTTAAACTCCACTGGTCTCGCGAGGCAGGATCGTGTATGCGCGCTGCTGAGGAGTCACGCAATAGGACAAAACGGCCGTCTCGTGCCTCCAGGTTTTCCATGGTAGTCTAGTTTCAATTGACTCATGATCTCAACTATTAAAATTACTATAATATCCACAAAAAACCATTCAGATATTAACTTTGAACATTGTCGAAATTGTACGTTTTATTGTTCAAATGAAATGTTAAGGAACGAAACCGGAAGACATAAAAAATGGTACATGTTTATTGTTTGCATCAACAGAGAACGTCGAGGATTTTCTTGACCTTGAATTACCCATACAGTCTCTGCATCGATAGGCCTCCACATTCACAAAGGAAAAAGCAAGATTCTCAAATACAACACGGAGAACACCAACCCAATCACACTTGATGGCGAAACTCTGAAAGATTTAAAACATTCAAGTACCTGGGAACCATCGTTGATAAACAAGGAGGATCGGATGCAGAAAAAAAGGCGAGGATTGGCAAAGCAAGAACAGCATTCTTACAATTGAAGAACATATGGAACTCAAAACAACTGTCATCTAACTTCAAAGTGAGAATCTTCAATACGAACGTCAGAACAGTCCTATTGTACGTAGCTGAAACGTGGAGAACTACTACGACCATCATCAGGAAGGTACAAGTATTGATAAACAGTTATCTATGCAAAATACTCAACAATCACTGGTCGGATACTATCAGCAACAGCGCTTTATGAGAGAGGACAAACCAGCTTCCACCTGATGAGGAAATTAGGAAAAGACGTTGGAGGTGGATCGGAAATACATTAAGGAAATCACTAATGTGCATCTTGACTCAATCCCTAACTTGGAATCCGGAAGGGAATTGGAAAAGAGGAAGGTCAAAGAACATACTACGCCGGGAAATAGAAGCAGATATGAAGAGGATGAATAGTAACTGGAAAGGAAGGCTCAGGACAGAGTTGGATAGAGAATGCTGGTGAGTGGCCTATGCTCCTCTACGAGGGGTAATAGGCGTAAGTAATTAAGTAAGTAATCTGTAGGCCTACAGACAGTCACCATAAACATAGAGTATCTAGCATGAATGTGTATCAGAATTCTATTACAATACTCAACTCCTTATATGTCTACTTAATCACAAGGTCATTAAGTCTAATAATTACGAGTTCGTTTTAGACTTACCAGTCTATTGACCTTCGTTTTGACCAATGACACAATGACTACGAAATTTGAAATTTTATAGGACCAATCAACTTTTGCTATCTCCAATAACCAATCAGAAGATAAACATAGCAAGCCAGCAAATTTATTACTTTAATATAGAACTCAGGTATATATATATACACTGATGATACGATCATATGGCACCATGACGTGTAAGTTGTGATTGATACGTTACCAAGTCATGAGTAATATAAAACCGGTCACTAGGTGAATAATTAGATAATAATAACCCAGTAACAATAAAGTATATATCAATAATTAATAAGTTCAATCAAAGGTAAATATTACAAACCAATTAATTAATAATTACGCAGTAAAATAGGCTGTTTTATTGTTTGATAGTTTCATCTTCCTTAAACATTCACTCAAATCTTACAAGTTCAAGTTACCTACTTACTTTACGTACTTACGCCTGTTACTCCTAATGGAGCATAGGCCGCCGACCAGCATTCTCTAGCTCACTCTGTCCTGGGCCTTCTTCTCTAGTTCTATCCAGTTTTTGTTCATTCTTCTCATGTCTGTCTCCATTTCTCGACGTAATGTGTTCTTTGACCTTCCTCTTTTTCACTTCTCTTCCGAATTCCAAGTTAGGGATTGCCTTGTAATGTACTTTTTAGTGGTGATCAAATGTCATCGATAATCAGCGACAAGTAGTATATGATTCAAGTTTACAGTTTCTTGTCGACTTCCACTAACTACATCATTGATACTCTCTTATTGTTGTTTTATTTTTCTTAAAGCTTTCCATTACAACAACTAACATCTATCAAATTATTGTACATCTATTGAGAACATATCCAACCAATATGAAAATAGCTTATAATATAGCAAGATTAATTAAAGTATTAAGTGTATGTAATGAAAATAAGGTCAAATTAGTTGAAGCTGGTACTGTAGAAGTAAGTTTCCATTTTTTTTATATAATTGATATAAAGTATTTTGGTTTATTTTGATTGGAGTTTTGTTCTCTAAGCTGAATAGTATGGTCGTGGAGCTTTCATCTTTCTTCTGAACGACATCATCAGTAGCACAAAGTTCGGGTAGAAGTGGAGTCTTTGGTTTAAAAAGAAACGAAGGATTTATTAGTATTCTTTTTAATGTATGCTATTTTGAGAATAGTGATAATCAATTTATGAATTATGACCTTGTATAGATGAGGGTGAGGAGGAGTTGGCTCTCATTCTCGAAATGGTTTCAAATCTACACGCGTATACAGCCACTATCAGTCAGTCAGTCAGCTACAATGTAGGACCGGGCATATGTATGCATCAGTTCAAGTTGGTACACTTCATTAGCACAACAAGATGAACACCAAATTCATAGAAGTAGTTACTTCTGTGGTAGTAATATAGAAAAGAATGATAGCATATAAGGATGAAATACAGGAAGAAGGAATTCATTGGTAGAACGAATGGTATAAAGCAATCTTAATTTCACTGTTTAAGGGGAGAGTATAAACCTACCCCATTGTGATCGATTCTGAGCCATGTCACCCACAGTCTCCAACCATTGGTTACAATAGTCGCGCGGACCCCAACCAAGTAGTCTGTATTTTCCACTAACATGGCTCAAACTAGAATTAAGTGATTTCAAGGACTTATAACACGTTTTCGTTTGGCCGCCATTAACTCTCTTCCAACCACCTACAAAACCAGTCATCATTGCGCGTCGCGGTAATCGGTGTTCAGGTATACGCAACACGTGGCCCGAACATTTCAGTCGATGAAGACTTACAACCTCATTGACTGATTTACAGCCATTTCCTAATACCCTGTGTCTAACCTCAATATTATCTATTTACCCGGTGTTCCCAGCAGATGCGAGCAATATTTCTAAAATATGTGTTATCAAATACTAGTAGCTTACCAATATCTTCTACTCTTAATAACTACGTTTCGCATCCGTAAAATAGAACAGGACCAACTGTCGTATAGTTACACTGAAATGACTATGGTTTCGGTATTGACATCTGATTTTTTCTTTATCAGTCAGGTAATCACTAATTTATCCGCATTTTATCCATAATCAATAGTTCACTATTTCGAATCACCTTAATTCATATTCGACAAACTAAGTCTTATGAAAAAATCTCTATTTTATGGTATTCTATTCAATCTGTAAATAACTTACAATCACATACTTTGATTTATTCAACATGAGTTGAATTAATACTGATGAAATTCTAAAGGTTTGTTTAGTTTACAAGAAACCATTGACCTTGGTTTCATGCTATTTGGTATTCGTCAGGAAGGTGTACCTGTATTCTTAAAGAAAGTGTTCTGCCTAGCGGAATCAACCCCGTTTTCCTCCAGCTTCACAGTGTAATACGAGGCTATTCAGGTCTCGATTGATCTCCTTTAGCTCTTTTGTAACATCTTCGACTGTAATGTTGGTTGGTTTAAGTTTAAATCTACTAAGGAGTATCAAAACTCTCAAGATTGCAAGCAAAATTTTCTGTTTTTGTGCATCCTAACACGAAAATAAGGTTCAGAGTTCCCTGTCGATTACTTACAACCATCTTAATATAATATACACGATGTCGAGTAATTTAGACTAGTGTTCACTCTGAGATTTTATCGAGAGAATCCATTCAAACCTAAATGGCTAAACAAACATTACATTCATTTAGTATTGTTTGTTTGAATCTTCTCATCGATGTTTAGAACTGCAACTGGTCAGTCTCTAATTGGCATATGTCCATACTGTTAGTATTGCCTCGATATAGCCTAAATACACAAGCATGGTAAGTAAAGATGGATAGTGGTTAGCAGTGGAATCCAGTTTGATGCGCGTTTCGTCCTATTTGGAATTCGTCACCTGGATGTACCTTCATCTCAGACTCGAACCCGGTACCTTTCACAATCAAAACTTAATATGTTCACATTTGAATCTGGTTTACTGTATAAACTTTCTACGAACTATTCTTATTTTGTATTGTAGGCTTTAACTCCATTGTTGAATTGTACTAATGAAGTATTACAATTAGAAACACTATGGGGTTTACGTAATATTAGTGATCAAGCTTATCATTTATTGGCTACAAAAAATCTTATCCCTATATTAATTAGTTTATTGGCTAGTAAAAATGAACATATCTCTATATGCTCTGCTGGATGCTTATGTAATTTAACATGTCAAAATGTACAAAATAAAAGTCTGCTGGTTGAAAAAGGTAAGATCCTTTTTATAATTCGCAAGGTACATTTTTTCAATTTTTAATTATTCAATAGGATTGTCTAGGACAGAGTTGAATGGAGAATCCTGGTGTGCCGCCTATGCTCCTCCACGAGGGGTAACAGTCATAAGTAAACTTTGGCACGAGATTATATAATCACTAGACTTGGATACATTGAGTATATGATTTTCGAAAGAAAAATTGAGAATCCGAAGTTTGTGCTGATGATAATGTCGTTCAGAAGGATGATGAAAGCTCCACGACCAAACCATCCAGCTCAGGGGAAAAAAACTTCATCAATATCATCCACCTGAGCTACAAATCTTCTCCACAATCAGGAAATTAGTTTATTTCATACAATACAACCAATGTGTGCATAATGAAGCTCGTAGTAAAATAAATGACAGAGAAATAATTTCAATATTAACGGTGTTTCATATTTAACATAGTTGAGAGGTCTATTTATCTTTATTCAATATCCAATCACACGACATGAGTCAATTGAAGCTAGACCACCATGGAAAACCTGGAAGCATTAGACAACTGTTTCGTCCTATTGTGGGACTCTTCAGCAGTGCGCATCTACAATCCCGCCTCGCGAGATTCGAACCCAGTACAACGAGGGATCATATATATATGCGTCGCAAATCATTCGATTTGTGTAATGGCTGATATACTTCCCGGACGCCCAAAGCGAAGCAGGTGGTTTTCTTAGAGGACCACTTCCCTAGCCTTTGACCTAGGGGGTCTACTCCATACAGAAGTGAAGTAACATTAAGAAATGCGGTCTCATTGTATTCGGTGACAAACGATAGATTCATACAACTTTTGTTCCATTTGGGACTATAGGGCCCATATGTACCATCAGTTTGAAATGATGGTTTTACACCTCCCCTCAGTGAATCTTCAGTATTCATCAACCCGGGTAAAGCTCCGAAAATTCGCTTTTCGTCCTCTTAATTTCGTGAACACTCGTAGTGAGAGAAGGCAGCGAGTAGGATTCCCCTGACAGTGACTGTATACACATGGGGATGTGAGAGCATATGGAGAGGGAGAGCTGACTCTCCGAACCCTTGGCCGTACCAGGTCATTTAGGGACAACATAATATGTCATACAGATTAATGTACTTTGTTTCAAGTCACACTCTAAATCTGACCAGGCTAGTGTGTGATACTAGATCGTTGCTTAAACCAAATTAGGTAGGACGAATTTTGAACCCGAGACTTAAGAGGTGAAAGTCAAGAGTCTCGATCACTGAGCCATTGTTGTACTTTATTTCCAATTAATTCTTATTACTTTCTTTCGATCAAATTGAAGATATACACCTTTTTATTGAATATTCAGTACTCAGTGAATAATCCAGTAAAAGGCACTTTGTTCATAGTTATTCTCAATACAAATCAAATTACAAAATGGTAGCAACAATCTAATTATTGACTATTCATTGATTTTAGTTCCATAAATGTCCTCACTGAGGTTGCCAATTGATCACTTAGACAAATAAATGTAAAAAATAGACCGTTTGGGGTTATACGTTTATATTTCCACTTTATATAGTTTCGAGTAAACTTTAACGATTTTCTGGCGTGAGACTGGTAGATTCTGGGTTCAAATCCCGCAAGGTGGGATCGTGGATGCGCACTGCTGAACAGTCCCGCAATAGGAGACGGCCGTCTAGTGCTTCCAGGTTTTCCATGATGGTCTAGCGTCAATTGACTCTTGATGTTACCGATATAAAATTACTAAAATCTTCACAAAATCCCCTTGTGATAATCCTCTGTATGACAGAATAATGTATAATGGTCTGAATGAAAGCAAGGTGTTGGGGAGACCTAGAAAGTTTGTCGAAAAAAACCAAAAGGGGCTCTGAGAAACAAATTATCCAATCAGCATTCAATAGAAGTTTTGCCATAAACATTTAAAAGGTGAAAAGTCACATGTCACGTTTCTGATTGAAATATTAACTATCCTGTTACTATGTTTGGTAGCGTTCCAGAACTTTCCAGAAACCAAAGGTCACCTAAAATGCTAGAAATACCCTAGATTTTCTGTATTTAAATCAACCTTGGAGTAGAACGTTCTTTCCATATATCACGCCTTTTCTTTCGTGTTCAAGTTGCCGTGTAGATTTATCCTGAGAAGAGGGGGAGTACTAGAAGAACTTAGCAAACCAAATCAAGCGTTCAATTAGAAGATTTATCGAAGCTCTGTATTTCAACAGCTGTTTTATACTGAAATTACCGACTAATTATGTAGGGATAATTAATCAAATTGGTACGATGACGTTAATCCAAGTTATTCACGTTAGTATTGACAGATTTCTGCATTATCATTAGATCGTCCACAAAATTAGGGAGCTTCTACTCGGTTGATCTAAATGTGTTAGACAAACAACATATATTCATGGTTACATAGATATGTATATGATACCTATGTTCAAACTGTAGGATAAATGGATCCTTATATTAATTTTCAAAAGGAGTCTTGTGGAGATTTGGTATTTTCATAGTTGAAAGCCTGAGTCAATTGAAGGTAGACCACCATGAAAAATCTGGAAGTACTGCTTGATGGCCGTTTCGTCTTATTGTGGGACTCCTCAGCAGTGAGCATCCACGATCCCACACTCGTGAGATTCGAACCCAGGACCTACTAGTCTCGAGCCAGAGCCCTTAACCGATAGACCACTGAGCCGGCATCCAACGGTGTTAATGTCTAACTTCTAAATAATAGGACGAAACGGCCGTCCAGTGCTTTCAGGTTTTCCATGGTGGTCTAGCTTCAATTGGCTCACGCTTTCAATTAGGATCCTTATATATTTGAATAGATCTATAATATTTGGATTTTGATTGACCTACTGTACCAATAAGCTATAGTTGAATTTCTCATCCCTTCTACGAACTTCTCTTTATAGCGTTCAACTATAACCTCCCATTAAATCGAACTCATGATGTTCAAAGTCTCCCGACAAGAATTTCCATATAGTAATGCTACTACCGATGATAAGTGAATCATTTTTCGACATAATTGAGTTTAACCGTTACCGGTTTTTCATTTGAACTTCAAAGAATCTAATAATTAGTTTGTTAGTAATGAGGATACCATGATTGTTGAGTTCGATATTTTTGTATTAGCTGTTTGGATCTTTCTATTGACATTTATGACTGTAATAGATCAGTGTCTTATCGGCATATGTGTATCCTTTGCGGATTGCCTCTATACTGTCTTAAGCTACAAGCATTATAAGCAGATATAGATTGTAGCTACCAATGGAATCCAGAACGCGCGTTTCGTCTTACTTAACTGATTGACGCGATGGCGTTTGAATCGAACGGTACTGGGTTCGAGTCTCACTGTGAACATCAAATCTGGAATGCAGTTACATCTTGCTAAAAAACGAGTCCCGAATAGGACGAAATGTGCGTCCCGTCTTTCACTGCTCAGATGGATAGTGTACGTAGTTTTGTTTTCCATTTCCTTTTTATTGATAATGTCATTGGACTCTAGCTCCATGGTGTATATGCATCGCTTTTATCACGGAAACTTGGAGGTATTCAATATTAGTTTGCTCATTGTCGAAGAGTGTTATACCGTAATATAAACTATTCTCCGGTAGCTATCTCTATTAAAATGTATACAGTCTTACTTTCTATGCTACAATTTTCAATATGATTTATAGTAACGAATGACACGTTTTTGTGTCTGTTTTATTTTTATTCATCCAGGTGGTGTAAAAGTTCTTTGTAGACTTTTATGTTTAAATTCAGATCGTCAAGAGATTGCCGAACCAATTTGTTCAGCTTTAAGGCATGTAACTCATCGAAATCCTCATTCTAATTCAGCAATTTATGAAGTAAGTTTTGCCTGCTTATCATCTTTCTAGTTTCTAAATTTTGGAATGAATCGTTAAGGTCTATCAACAGAAGTGATCACTAAAAACGTTTATTGATTATATAGTTGAGATTATGAGTCAATTGAAGCTAGACCACCAAGGAAAACCTGGAAGCACTGGATGGTCGTTTCGTCCTACTGTGGGACTCCTCAGAAGTGGGCGTCCACGATCGCGCCTCACGAGATTTGAACTCAGGACCTATCTGATCGCGCGTGAGCGCTGATTGGTTCAAATGAAACGATCGACCGATAAGTCAATACGTAACTAAATCGGCTAACTTGTTATTCTTATCAACAGTTACCAAATGAAATATATTTACTAAAGACTGAAGAATTGATTATGCTCTGAAAACTATTATTATTTACACTAATTAACTGTTGAGTATTAACTTATGTCACACTTGTCTATCCTTTAGTACTGGTTAAATTCCACCAAAAAACTCTAAGTGAATTTACGTCACAATCAATAGTAAACCCTTTCATTAGACTTTGTCCAAGTTAGTTCTCATGAATAACGTCTATCGATAATCTTGAAGTAACTGATGTTGTTTTCGGGATTCAATACGTTGCCATCTAGGCTGATAGTCAAAAGTTACCAACTGAAATTGATCAAATTACATCTTGATATCAAGTCACTGATATTAGTGGTACTGATTACTAACCAATGATTAGTTATATTAAAGAGAATTGAACAATGGCTAGCGATAGAATCCAGAACGTGCGTTTCATCCTATTTGGGACTTGGTTTTTTTTTAGCTGGATGTAACTACATCCCAAAGTTGATGATCTCAAAATGTATATCATAGTGGGTTTGTGTCAATTATTTGATTGAAAGTAAGTCTTTTTCCTTCAGATGGAGAATTGTTATCAGAAGGTAGTTTCTTTTCAATCTCTGATCAATCTATTTTGAAGTACTATTGAAAACTATAGAGTTCTAAAGAACCATTCTATCTTCAAAAAAATACGCTCTTGAATCTTCAGCTAAAGCTCTATGCAAATCACTTTACAAGATGGATGTTTTCTAAACTGTGTTTGTTTTCTTCCTTTAAACTAGGTACGTACCAGTGACACTTTACCAACTATTGCTTCCTTATTCTTGAAATATCAATTTGTATCCGCTTTACCTTTATTAAAATCTGTTGTTGGTCTTGTTCGAAACTTATCTACTGTGGAAGTGACACGTCATGAACTTAAGTGAGTTATGCTTAATTTGATCAAATCTACTCAAATCTTTATGTTCATAATTATTTTATTTTATTTAAACACAAAAATATTGGCACAAGGAGGCACCAGATATATATGCGCCACACAAATCTCATTCCATTTGTCTGAGGGCTCTGATACTGCCCGGGTGCTCAAACCGAAACATGTGGTTTTCTTAGGGGGGCCACACTCGGAGCCTTTGACCTAAAGGTCTGATCCACAAGGCAGTGGAGCAGTTCCATGATAGTCAGTAACCCACGATTGATTCATACGCCATTTGTTCCTTCAGGATACTGGAGCCCATGTGCACCATTGGTTTGGAATGAGGGTTTTCCAACTCCCCTAGGTGGACTTACTGAGTCCACCAACCCGGTTAAAGCTCCGGGCATTCGCTTTTCGTTCTCTCAATTTCGTAAACAACAGTAATGCCACGAGAAGGCAGTGAGCAGGACTTCCCTGGTAGAGGCTATATATGCATGACCATGTGGGGTCATTTCGAGAGGGAGAGATAACTCTCCCCACTCTCGGCCGTACCAGGGCGTTTTGGGGTCTTCAAGAAATTCTAATGTTAGACAATTTTATCTATCTGTAAATGATAACATCATTCATTGGAGATTATTAGCACACTGCTATATAAGTATGCGGTTGTTTGTAGAGATGGATGAATTATGTAGTTTGACATTACGAATTGATCTTAGCTGAACGGGCATTAAAAACGAGGAAGGACTGAATAGCTCTTTCGTTCTAATATAGCATTCCTTAGTACTGAACGTTCTCATCCACCACTGGGAATCTTACATAGTACCTTCAGTTCTTATAAAGAATGATTAAATTTTAGATCATGTTAGGATATTCACAGGAATATCCCAAAAATTATCTCGAACGTAAAGTGGTATGTTTTCAGACTTTCCACATATTTCACATGTTATTTCCTATTGGTCATTATTTACAGTTGTCCGAACTATAACTTTCACGTGTCGTTTTCCTATTGGTCAATTTTGAGTTGTCCTAATTATAACCTTTACGTGTCCTTTCTTTCCATTGGTTACTGTTCATAGTCATCTTAACTGTATAAATATGCCTTGTCTGTAAATCATTTTCGATCTGTTTCGGACCCTATAAACAATTCTCATTTATCATTTATCACGCTTTCAACAATGATAAATACTAAATCTCCACAAAACCCCTTCTATAATTAATATAATAATATGCTCACTAGTGATTTCAAGAAGTATATCTAGGAGCTCTAGTGAGAAGCAGTGACCAGTGGAGTTCAAAACCACGTCTGTTGTGAGATAGAAACTCACTGAAGACAATTGGTGAATGGTTGCTCAACTTCGTGGATCAGTTGAAGTTAGACATAAACACCGTTGGATGCCAGCTCAGTGGTCTATCGGTTAAGGGCTTCGGCTCGAGACTGGTAGGTCCTGGGTTCGAATCTCGCTCGCGAGAGCAGGTTCGTGGATGCGCACTGCTGAGGAGTCCCATAATAGGACGAAACGGCCGTCCAGGTTTTCCATGGTGGTCTAGCTTCAATTGACTCACGCTTTCAACAATTCTCATTTAACGGCTGTGTTCTAGTTTATTAGAGTTGGGGAAACAGTATTGGGGTCGTACTAGGATATCTGAATTGGTCAATCGGTAGAAATTCCCTTAGTCCTATCGCAATACGCAATAATTTCACGACGTAATATTTGGTGATTTATAACAGATCATCAAGTTGCCATCTAATGGTCTACATATTTAGGATATAAACTATCGAATTCAGAAATCTTCATCAACCTTAGTATAAACCATCACATGGACACTGGTGATTAATTTCAAGAGGAAATTCCCCAAGTTAAAATGAGAAGCAGTAACCGTCGGGGAATTCTATTAATATTGTATGTGAGGTAGTTACTCATCGGTGACATTGAGAGATAGTTGCTCAATATCGAGAACTGGCTAAAGTTAGAAATATTAACCTTTAGACGCTAATTTAAGAGTCTAAGAGCTCATCAGTAAACTTTACGGTTGTAGATTCAATCCCCGATGGGGCCATGGATGGAAGCTTTTGAAAAGTCTCATACTAGGAGAAAACGGTTATCTAGTACTTTTTGACTTTCAACAGTTGTCTGAATAAAGTAAGTCCATGATATAAAACTATACAATGATTACTATGAATTAAATAGTCATTTGTCGAGAAAAATATTTTCATTGGAATCATGAACCGATCAATGTTGGACGACCATTGAAAACCTGGAAGAACTGGACACCTGCTTCGTCCTAGTTTGGGGCTTCTTGACAGTGCGCATCCACAACCCTGCATGCTGTAATTCAACCCACGACATTTAGTCTCGCGCGCGAATACTTAGCATTCGGACGTTTGAGACGGCAACCAACAGTGTTGATGTTTAACTCCAATCAATCCACAGTACTATGCAACCATCTTCTACTGTCTCTGATTAGCAACTGCTCCTCACCTAACAAGGTGAAGCTCCACTTGTTGCAACTTCTCACTAAAGCTCCGAGAATTACCTTTCGAAGCTAGTCAACAGTAAGCACATGATAATTATCAGTATACGGTTGTGGAGATTGTTGACTTTCATTGAAATCATGGATTGATTGAAGTTAGACATCAACATCGTTGGGTGCCATCTCAGTCGACCAGTTGTTAAGTCCGAAAGACGTTAAGACCGAAAGTTGTGGGTTGAATTACAAAATGAAGGATCGTAGATGCACATTGTTGAGAAGTCCCATACTAGTTTGACACAACTGTCCAATTTTTCTAGGTTTCCAATAGTCGTCTGATATTGATCAGTTCATGATTTCAATGAAATTCAACAATCTTCACAACACTCATATGACCTGTTATTATTTTCTTTCATAACAGAGATTTAAATGTACCAGGAATGGTAGCAAATATTTTCTTACAGACGTTTAATTCATTGAATAAACAACAATATCATGGTATAACTGAACAAGATTCTAATCATTATCTAGAAGGTGTAAATCTTGAAGATATGCTTGAATTAACATTAGCTGCATTACAAATTATGGCTAAAGATCAATCTATTCAAGAAGAATTCATTCACACAGCAGCTTTAGTTTCATCTGTTGTACAAGTAAGTTTATTATTTCACCAATCTTGGTACAAAGTATTCTAGTTAACTAATACTTCCAATACTTTAACTGGTTGGAATGCATTATTTATCAGCTAGGAGTGTATATCTATACTCTTAAAACGACTGAGATACTGTCTGGTAAGATTTGTTAATCATATCTGATAAACAAGGAGGTTACTTAATTACGCCCTGTTACCGATTGTGTGGAGGAGCATAGGCCACCCACAAGCATTCTCCATCCAACTCTACCCTTGACAATCCTTCCCAGTTGCTATTCATCCCTTTGCTGTCTGCTTCCATTTCCCAACACATTGTGTTTCATGGTCTTCCTTTTTGCCTTTTTTCTTCAGCATTCCAAGTAAGCACTTGCCTCTTAATGCAGTTTGATGGTTTCGTCAGTGTGTGTCCTATCCACTTTCAGCGTCTTTTCTTAATTTCCTCCTCAGCCGGAAACTGGTTTGCGATGTAGAGGTCTTTATAATCCAGCCGACCACCAGAGTGAAGAGAATAGGGTAGAATAATCAGCCTTGTCTGACACCAGTTTTCACTTGGAATGTATTTGTAATACTAAGATCAAAAAGCGACTTACCGAGTAATTCATGATCTTCAATGCTTTTTCAGATATTTTCTATTCATGATCACTAAGTAGTCAGGGATATCACACTTTTCTAGTTATAAATCCTTATCAACTTCCCACCGATGGATTTGCAATAGGACCACTGGTCTAAGTGATATGACATTCAATTCACTATGTCTTTGTTAAGTCGGCCTCCAGCGAACTCCAACAGAGCCTCCAGAGGCTCAAAAAGAGTCCCAACCAATCAAAGTACGACAGAACATTCTGGAGTTCCAACGTGGCACGCTACCATTGGTCAGTAGCAATATATATCGTTAATTGGATTGGCTGAATTAGGATGTTGATTTAACTTAAGCAAACATCTATAAATACCTACGATTTTCTGTACAAAAATGATCCTTGCAGTAAAGGTTTTCTCTTTTACTCGTGTCTTCTCTCTGGTCTTCGAGTTGCTGCGTAGTGCTAGTCTGGGGGTTATCCGAATAGCGTAAGATCTGAATAAAGCGTTCAACCTACAAGACATAACAGTCTTGACGTCAGATAGCTGGAGGTAATGAAAAGAAAACCCTGAATTGTGGTTTCATTATTATTCAGGACTCTTTAACAAGGTGTACCCGTAATCTTGAAGAAAACTGATGTTGTTTAGTGAATTCAATCCTATATCCACTTTCAAAGTCATAGTCATTAATACTGATATATTTAAGCATCAACCAACCTCCTACAAGACTGTCAGTCAGTGAGCTACAACGAGCAAACTCCGAGCAGGAACTAGTTGATGCGGTAATCACATGTGCCCTAGTGCAACACGTGAAGGAAGCAACTAGGTACGACCCGGGTTCTGCATCATCATTACTAGATCTTATATTGACTCATTATGAGGATGATGTTGCAAACCTGGATTACATGCCACCCCTAGGCAAAAGTGATCATGCAGTTTTAAGCTTTGACTTCCATATAACTGTCGATCACGGGTACGCTTCAGCTCAATCGAGACCTAACGTCTGGAAAGCAAACATACCAGACATCATGAAATCAGCATCATTAGTAGATTGGAAATTAGACCCAGAGTCATCAATCGAAACGGCTTGGGACGTATTCCGGAATTTATACTTAAAAGTTACCACCCCCCACATCCCTTGGACTACACCTAAGAGACCGAGAAACTCCCCACCGTGGTTCAGTAGGGAGGTTCGCATCCTTCTCCGTAAAAGAGGGAAAATGTGGGACAGATTTAGGTTACTGGGGACTGACGAGGCAAAATCTCAGTATCAAAAGGCTCGAAATAACTGTGCCTCGACCCTCCGTAAGGCCAGAAAGCTGTACGAAGAGAAAATCGTTAGGGAATCCATAGAATGCCCTAAACGCTTGTATTCGTATATAAACCAAAGGACAAAAAGAAGAAGAAATGTTCCTTCACTATGGGGAGACAGTACTGCCACATCACTAGTGGAGGACGACTTTGGCAAAGCTCAAGTATTCTCTAAATACTTTAGCGATGTTTACACCATAGAAACACCCTTCTCACCAGTCCATGAAAATCCCCCCACATAAGCACTGGACAGCGTAACCATTAAAGAACTCGATGTCTTTGGTCTGCTAGTTAAGCTTGACATAGGTAAATCCACTGGACCCGATGAACTGCATCCTAGGTTACTAAAGGAATTAGCTAACTTTGTTGCGAACCCTTTTTTAGTGTATGTTTTAATCTATCTGTAACCCAGGGTCATCTACCAAAAGACTGGAAGAACGCCATAGTAAGTCCAGTCTTCAAAACAGGTACAAAACATAAGCCTGAGAATTACCGACCAATTAGCCTAACAAGTGTGGTTGTTAAAATCTTAGAAAAGATTATTCGGAAGGAACTGTTAAAGTATCTCGATGAAAACCGGATCCTCTCCGAAAAGCAGCATGGTTTTTAGAACAGGTTACTCTTGTCTCACAAACTTATTAGTCGCTCGTGAAAGCTGGTGCGCTCTTAAGGACCAAAAGTTACCTACAGACGTAGCTTACATCGATTTCAGCAAAGCTTTCGACAAAGTTCCGCATAACCGGCTGTTATGTAAGCTAAGGAATGTCGGGATTGGAGGCAATCTATTGATGTGGATAAAAGACTTCCTAGTTGGGCGTCAAAAAAGAGTAAGGGTGAACTCCAAGTTGTCTAGCTGGGAAACTGTGCTTAGTGGAGTCCCCCAAGGTACAGTTTTGGGGCCAGTGTTATTCCTCCTGTACGTAAATGATCTCCCTCGTCTACTATCGTCATCGGTCTTACTCTATGCTGATGATGTCAAGATATGGAGAGCGATACAAAGCAAGGGCGATAGCTTAGAACTTCAAAATGACCTGCAGAGATTATCTGAATGGTCCCAAACCTGACAATTGCCGATAAACACTTCCAAGTGTATTGTGATGCATATTGGCCACCAGGGTACCAATACATACACGATGAATAACACTGAGTTACCTATTGTTCAGGCACACAATGACTTAGGCGTCATCGTCAGTCAAGACTTAAAGACTACTGCACACTGCCGTGCAATAGCCTCCAAAGGTTTTAGTACTTTATGGTCCATACGCAGGGCTTTTAGGCATCTCGACGCTAAAACGTTTCTGACTTTGTATACAGTGTTCGTACGCCCTAAACTAGAGTACTGTATACAAGCAGCTAACCCTTGCCTAAAAAAGACAGTGAACTCTTGAAAAGGGTTCAGAGAACAGCAACTAGGCTGATTCCCGGAATACCGAAGCTCCCGTATGGTACTAGACTGACCAAGCTAAACCTACTTCCGCTGTCATATAGAAGAATGAGAGGCGACTTGATTACAGTTTTCAAATTGCTTAATGACAAATTTGCACCTGATATGCCCTCATTTTTCTTGTCTTCCAAAACAGAAAATCTACGAGGACACTCCAAAAAAGTTCACAAGCCCCGAACGAATTACTTATCAGCTGACTACCGACTTTCCCATCGAATAATCAACGAGTGAAATTCATTACCTCAGCACGTGGTTGAGGCTCCATCCGTCGACTCCTTCAAAAGAAAGTTGGATCAGCTGAGAGACCATCATTGCCAGGACTAACACAGGCCATCAAGCCTGCTGTCCTTTCCAAACTGACACTGAAAACTGAAGGACCGGGCGCATATATGCATCGGTCCAAGTTGCCATACCTCGTTAACACAACAAAATGAACACCGGATTCATAGAATTGATTAATTTAGTGGTGGTAATATATAAAGGAAAGGTTGTATATAAGGATAAAGTATAGGAAGGAAGAAAGTTATGAAGCAATTTTAATCTCAAGGTTTAAGGGAATATAAAGAGTGTCTACATCTACATCATTGTGATCTATTCTGAGCCATGTTACCCAGAATCTGCAACCATTGATTAAGATAGTCACGCAGACCCCAACCAAGTAGTCTGAATCTACCAACATGTCTCAGACTAGAAGTTAGTGACTTCATGCTCTGATGCCACGTTTTGGTTTGGCCACCACTAACTCTCTTCCAACCATCCCTTACACTAGTCAGCATAGTGCGTCGTGATAACCGGTGTTCAGGCATACGTAACACGTGGCCTAACCATCTCAGTCGAAGAAGACTCATGACCTCATCAACTGATTTACCATCATTCCCTAATACCCTGTGTCTAACCTCACTATTATTTACCCGGTGATCCCAGCAGATGCGAGCAATATTTCTAAGACATCTGTGGTCAGATACTAGTAACTTACTTATTATTATTTATTTATTTATTTAAACACATAAATATTGGTACAAAAAAGCACCAGATAAATATGCGCCTCACAAATCTCATTCGATTTGTGTGAAGGCTGTGATACTGCCCAGGTGCCCAGACTGAAGCAGGTGGTTTTCTTAGGGGGCCACACCCGGAGCCTTTGACCTGAATGTCTGATCCACAAGGCAGTGGAGCATCGTGAGGAAATGCAGTCCCATGGTAGCTGGTGATCAACGGTTGATTCGTACGCCATTTATTCCTTCAGGATACTGGAGCCCATGTGCACCATTGGTTTGGAATCAGGGTTTTCCAACTCCCCTAGGTGAACTTTCCATGTCCACCAACCCGGTTAAAGCGCCGGACATTCGCTTTTCGTCCTCTCACTTTCGTAAACAACACCCAGATTGAGAGAAGGCAGTGAGTAGGACTTCCCTGGCAGAGGCTATATATTCGCTGGCCATATGAGAGCATTTCGATAGGGAGAACGGACTCTCTCCACTCTCGGCAGTACCGGGGCATTTGGAGGCACTAGTAACTTACGAGTATCTTCTACTCTTAATGGCCATGTTTCACAGCCGTAAAGTAGAACAGAGCGAACTGCTGCGCAGTATGCTCGTCCCTTAATTGATAGACGGATATCTCGTCTCGTATATGTCGTGTCGTAAGTTGGCAAAAGCCAAACGAGCTTTCTGAATCCGTGCTGAGATTTCATCAGACACCAAACCATTAGGACTGATCAGACTTCCAAGATAAGTGAAGTTGTCGACGCGTTCGACTACTTCACTCCCTATCCTTAGTTCAGGTGTTGACGCAGGCCAGTCCTGCAGTAACAATTTACATTTGGATGGGGAGAAACGCATCCCAAACATCCTGGCATTATTACTCAATTCTAACAGAAGACTCTGCATTTTGCCAGCGTCTTCACCAAACAGGACTATGTCGTCTGCGTATTCTAAGTCGCTTAGTGGTCCCCCTGGTAGAAGATTAATTCCTGAAAATTCAGTCGACGAGTGTTATTTCCAGCAACAGGTCTATAATGAAGTTAAACAAAAATGGGGATAGTGGGCGAGACTGAGATATTTACAAATAGTTGATCACTGAGCAGTGGTCAATTTAATGTTTGTCTAATCCTTTTCATCGTGAAATTGGGTTACATCTAGTTTAATTTATATTTTATTTAGTTAGTATATTCTCCATCTGTATGTTTACAACGTGCTTCAACTGCATTCTTAAGTCAATTGTCAACATCCCGTTCTGGATGTCAAGCAATTGAAAATGAAGGAGCTTGTCCTCGATTTACTGAACTAATTCAGTCGAATAATGAATATATTGGTAAGTGATTGAATAAAAGTTTATTCTTAATAATATTTATTTTCACTTTAGTATTGTAGTGGGTCGGGCGTGCACAGACCAAATTGCGACACTACAGATATCGTGGAACAATCAGTTGAGTGGAATTCGTCACTATACATCAAGTTCATTGACTAGGAGAAGGCGTTTGACAGTGTGTACCGGAGAACATTATGGAAACGTCTTCGACACTATGGAGTTCCTGGAAAGATTGTCGACATTATCCAGAACTGATACTACAGTGCAAAGTCGTGCATGGAGGACAGCTGACAGATGCATTTCCAGTAAAGACCGGAGTCATACAAGACTGTCTACTCCCTCCCTTCCTCATTCTTCTAGTGATTGACTGGATTATGAAGGCTTCGACATCTGAGGGGAAGCACGGAATACAATGGACATCTCAGAATCAATTAGACGATTTGGATTCTGCAGATAACCTAGCTCACCTATCTCATAGGTACGAACAAATACAGACGAAGACAACAAATGTAGCAGCAGCCTCTGCATCAATTGGCCTCAACATATAATGAGGAAAATGCAAGATTCTCAAATACAACACGTAGAACAACAACCCAGTCACACTTGGTGGCTAAACTTTGGAAGATTTAAAACATTTACGTACCTGGGAAGCATCATTGATAAACAAGAAGGATCAGATGCAGATGTGAATGCGAGGATTGGCAAAGCAAGGGCAGCATTCTTACAATTGAAGAACATATGGAACTCAAATACTTTCAACTAACTTCAAAGTGAGAATCTTCAATACGAACGTCAAGACAGTCCTACTGTATGGAGCTGAAACGTGGAGAACTACTACATCCATCGTCAAGAAGGGACAAGTATTTACAAACAGTTTTCTACGCAAAATACTCAACATTCACTGTTCGGATACTATCAGCAACAGCGTTTTGTCGGAGAAGAAAAATCAGCTTCCAGCTGAAGAGGAAATTATGAAAATATATTGGAACTGGATAGGACGTACATTGAGGAAATCACCAGACTGCATCACTAGGCAATTTCTAACTTGGAATCCGAAAGGGAAGCGGAAAAGAGTAAGGCCAAAGAACACATTACGTCGGGAAATAGAAGCAGATATGAAAAGGATGAATAACAACTTGGAAATAACTGGAAAGGATTGCCCAGGACAGGGTTGGATGGAGAATGCTGGTGTGTGGCCTATGCTCCTCCACGAGGAGTAACAGACGTAAGAGAGACAGAGAAATTGTAGTGGGTAATGCATTAACGTTTGTAGTGAAAGGTACTAAATATGACTCTCAATGAGAATATCAACATTAGAATGAAGGTATATCCAGTTGATGAGGACCAAGTAGGACGAAACATACTAACTTAATTCTACTGCCTAACCACCATCCAACTTTAATGCATTCTAATATATACAAGTAAATGCAGGTACATCCTGCTGACGAGTCCCAAATGGGACAAAACGCGCGTCCTGGATTTTACTGCTAGCCATTATCCATCTTTGCTTACAATTCTGATATATAGTTTATAATAATAATAATAATCAATTGTATTTCTCTCTTTCTAGCCGCATATACTGCAGCAATTTTACATCGTATTGCTCAAGATAAACCTGAAGCTTATAGACGTCGATTATCATTGGAATTACGTCAATCACTTTTTGACGGTGGACTACTTAATGATCCAAATGAAATAGATCCATATCCTTCAAGTCCATCAAAGCTAACTGATGGTATACTACCAAATGATAATTCACCTCATATTACTGATCGAAGATCAAGACATTTATCCGACTCCAATTTAAGACAACATTCAAAATAGGATAATCAATTATGTATCACTTTTAATTATAGTGAGTTGATTTTTATCAAAACATTTTCATCTGAATACTTTATATCGTTTATTTAAACACAAATATTGGTACAAGGAAGCACCAGATATATGTGCGCCACACAAATTTCATTTGATTTGTGTGAGGGCTGTGATACTGTCCAGGTGCCCAAACTGAAGGCCGTGGTTTTCATAAGGGGCCACACCCACAGCCTTTGACCTAAAGGTCTGATTCACAAGGCAATGGAGCGCTGTGAGGAAATGCAGTCCCATGGTAGCCGGTGACCAACAGTTGGTTCATACGCCATTTGTTCCCTCAGGATACTGGAGTCAGCCCATTGGTGCACCATTGGTTTGGAATCAAGGTTTTCCAACTCCCCTATGTGGACATGGAGGGTCCACAAACCCGGTCAAAGATCTGTACATTCGCTTTTTGTCCTCTCAGTTTCGTAAACAACAGTAAAGCCACGAGACGGCAGTAAGTAGGATTTTTCTAGTAGAGGCTATATACGCGTAGCCGTGTGAGAGAATTTCGAGAGGGAGAGTGACCCCTTCCCACTCTCTGCCGTACCAGGACATTTGACGGGCATATATCGTTTAGAATTAATTCATATTATTTTCTGTTAGTAGAAAGGGATGTGAGGATTGTCGGATTTCGAGCTCTATACCATCTTATAATCATGTTCTTAGTAGTGACTACAAGAGCTAATTCACAGAGTGAAATATGTGGCAGTTAGCTTCCATCAACATTTGAAAATGGTTATACAACAACAAAGATTGATTAAAATTACAAATGTCAACTATGGATTTCAGTCAAGTGGTACAAAGGTTAACTGCTCACTATAAAACCTAAAGATCCTGGATTCAATCTTCAGTACAGTAGTAGATACATAATGTTGAGGATTCAATTAATAGGATGAAACAGTTGTTTAATACTTCTTGGATTTCAATAGTTTCCACTGTCTGAAGTCCATCTGTAATGTGAAATTCCAAAATTATGTGATCTTTTCCAGAAATGCTTTACATAAAAAATCTCGCTGTTCAAAAACATGTCGTTGTATGAATTTCTCTAGTGAGAAACAACAGGCTGCGGATAAACTCCACTTCGTCAAGTGTATATTTTCGTCTATTTAGTCACTCAATTGTAGATATTTTGGAATAACTCCTATCATAGAATTAATTAGGAGTTATGACTGACAACCCTACACTTGACACATCCGTAATATGATGAAGTGGTATTTTCGTCGTATATTTTTTCATGTAAGCCAGCGAAAATAACCGAGAACAAAACACACACCCTATCATGGATTACGATAGTGTAGATAGTAATTCCCCCCTTTTTAATGTCCGCACGGATTCCAAAACCTCGTTTGGATTTTGCCAACTTACGTCACCTATGGCGAAAACGAGATATCCGTCAATCAATTAAGGGACGAGTATACTGCGCAGCAGTTCGCTCTGTTCTACTTTACAGCTGTGAAACATGGTCATTAAGAGAAGAAGATATTCGTAAGTTACAAGAATTTGACCACAGATGTCTTAGAAATATTACTCGCATCTGCTGGGATCATCGGGTAAATAATAGTGAGGTTAGACACAGGGTATTAGGGAATGATGGTAAATCAGTTGATGAGGTCATGAGTCTTCTTCGACTGAGATGGTTAGGCCACGTGTTACGTATGCCTGAACACCGGTTATCACGACGCACTATGCTGACTAGTGTAAGGGATGGTTGGAAGAGAGTTAGTGGTGGCCAAACCAAAACGTGGCATCAGAGCATGAAGTCACTAACTTCTAGTCTGAGCCATGTTGGCAGATGCAGACTACTTGGTTGGGGTCTGCGTGACTATTTTAACCAATGGTTGGAGATTCTGGGTAACATGGCTCAGAATAGATCACAATGATGTAGATGTATACACTCTCTATTTTCCCTTAAACCTTGAGATTAAAATTGCTTCATAACTTTCTTCCTTCCTATACTTTATCCTTATATACAACCTTTCCTTTATATATTACCACCACTAAATTAATCAATTCTATGAATCCGGTGTTCATTTTTTTGTGCTAACGAGGTATGGCAACTTGGACTGATGCATAAATGTGCCTGATCCTACGTTGTAACTGACTGACCGACTTATTCCCTTTTTCATTTCAGCTGGTTATCAGGTGTAAGGTCAAGTTTGCGAACGATAGTGGAGTTTTTTCCCCACTCGCTTTACCAAGTTCTCTTTTTTTTCTTTTGTATATTTTAAAGAAACACACCAATACAATCTCAGGAACTAATTTCAATATGATTAACTTACTTACATTTTGTCTTTTGATTAATCTAATATGTGTACATCATTTTATTGTTTGTAATATACCGATATATTTTATAATTGTAATATCCAATCAAGACGATAATTATTCTCTCTCTTTCTTTTTGTTTTTTGGAATAATTTCGACATCGATTGTTACCTTTATCCCATGAAGGATCAGCTTTGCCTCCAAATGCCCTGCTACGACCGAGAGTGAGGAGAGTCCGCTCTCCCTCTCCAAATGCCCCCCACATGGTCACACGTATATAGCCTCTACTAGAGAAGTCCTACTCATTGCCTTCTGTTGTTTACGAAATTGAGAGGACGAAAAGCGAATGTCCGGTACTTTAACCGGGTTGGTAGACACGGAAACTCCACTTAGGGGAGTTGGAAAACCCTGATTCCAAACCAATGGGCTGACTCCAGTATCCTGAGGGAACAAATGGCGTATGAATCAATCGTTGGTCACCGGTTACCATGGGACTGCATTTCCTCACAGTGCTCCATTGCCTTGTGGATCAGACCTTTAGGTCAAAGGCTGTGGCCCCCTAAGAAAACCACCTGTTTCAGTTTGAGCACCTAAGCAGTATCACAGCCCTCACACAAATCAAATGAGATTTGTGTTGTGCATATATATCTGGTTCCCCTTTGTACAAATATTTATGTTTAAGTAAAAATAATAAAATATAATGAAATCTACCAACATGTGTGGATATTTTACTAATGTTCAACAGTAGGTGTTCTCGAAGCATTGCTCGTATATTATGTCACAATTGATTTGACGGGCGACGAGGGCCGGTGTAGAAGTAGTTTAAAAAGAAACGATAGTAGGCAAAATTAAGACATGGTATCAGTTCACTGACCCTGTATGTAAGTAGGTGCGCACTACCTGGTTGGGGTTTGCGTGATTATCGCAACGAAATGACGTGATTTAAATTTGTTTTTAATAGTGCAAGTTAATTCACTACATGTATCTTTAGATCCTAAAGCTTCAAAACTCCGTACAATTTCTTTATATTTTAGTAATATACATTTCCTCAGACCGTATTTTAGATGCTTAATCGTTCCTACTACCATTAATCCTGTTACTATTTCTACTGCTCTGATATTTGCTGTGACAATATTCATCTTGCTATTCTAATAGGGTATCGGAACTGAAACCATTGTAAATACATGTCGCAGGTTCTCTGTTGTATTTGACTGACCAATATAGTATATATATCTCAATTTGTGGATTATAGCCAAAGTCATGAAGAGTTAGTGAAATCTGTTGTTAGCATGACAAAGTCTCGATTATTGAATGCTTAAGTTAGCATCAGATGAGAGTACGCTAACTGTTCCATTTTTAACCTGTCAGCGTTATCGTAAGTATAAAGAGGATATTAGGAGATTCCTACATAAGTGTTAAATAAACTCCTTCTTGTTCAGACTACTGGAATATTTATTCGCTTACACAGCTTGTTGTGACTTATGAATAGTCGAGTGTAATTACAATAAGGAATAATAAACAGTACAAGATCATAACTTAATGAAGCATATTAAAGGCGATTATCTGATATCTTGACTCATAGCATAGGTTCTCAAAGATATTAACTAAGACATTGTCATTCCCTTATAATATTTCCCTTCTGTATACTGAGTGGTTTGTAGGAATATATAACAATTCTTCTAAGGAAACATGAATCATAAATGATAACGACAGACTTTCATCATTTTCCTTCAGCGTTAAAACACCAGCACCAATAAATATCACAATTATTTAGTCTTTTAAAATTTACTTATTGTTTGTTTGGATGCAGGTACATCCACCTGACGAGTCCCAAATAGGACGAAACGCGCGTCCTGGATTCCACTGCTAGCCACTATCCATCTTTGCTTATTTAGTCTTTTGTTGTGTTAACTGAGTTCTGTTGACCAAGTAACAATGTAACCATTAGTCTAAGTGAATCAACATCGTATGTACCATCTTAATGTGGTAGATATTTGAGGATAGTCGATAGGAAAAGCTGACATGGTCTCATGTGATTTGGCCCTCGTCAGCAAGGTCCATCTATCTGTAATCTCGAGTGTACTGATGCTTCATGTAGAATTCAAAGTCGAGTCATCCAGCTTCACAATCTGAGATGTCACTATTAATAGTCTAAACAGATTGTGGCTGACTGCGATTACCCAAAAACTCCGCCTGTAGCTCCTCTGGGGGTTACTGCCGGTCCCAAGCCCGGGTAAAGGAGGAGGGTTGGGCATGGGGTTAGCGACCCCATCCCGTAGAAAATCAACTCGCTAAAAAAACGCTAACCAGAAAAAATCATTCAAACTCTGCCCTGGGAGTAGAAGGAATAATTATGACGTCTCATGATGAAAGCCGAGTTCCTTCGGAAGTCATGAGGCCGATGCACCTTCTTACAACCAAAGCGACAATTTTTATAGGTACATGGAATGTCCGAATAATGTGGGAGACCGGAAGAGTCTTCCAAATTGCTGCGGAAATGAGAAAATACAATCTGGAGGTGCTTCGAATCAGTGAAACACATTGGACGCAGGTCGGACAACAACGTCTGTCTTCAGGAGAACTTCTGTTATACTCCGGTCATGAAGAAGAAAATGACCCACATACACAAGGAGTTGCATTGATGCTGTCCAGAAAAGCACAAAATGCACTTATTGGATGGGAACCTCATGGACCAAGGATCATCAAAGCCTCCTTCAAAACAAAAAGAGAGGGCATTACAATGAACGTCATCCAATGCTATGCGCCTACCAGTGACTACGATGAAGACGCTAAAGACCAATTCTACGATAGGCTGCAGTTGATCGTCGAGAAGTGCCCAACCAAGGACCTGATAATTCTGATGGGAGATCTCAATGCTAAGGTTGAAATGGACAACACTGGATACGAAGACGTCATGGGACAACATGGACTGGGAGAAAGGAACGAAAATGGTGAGAGATTTGCAAACCTATGTGCCTTCAATAAACTGGTCATAGGTGGCACCATATTCCCACACAAAAACATACACAAAGCCACTTGGATTTCACCGGATCACACTACATAGAATCAAATCGACCATATCTGCATCAACAAAATGTTCAGGAGGACGATGGAGGATGTGAGAACCAGAAGAGGAGCTGATATAGCATCCGATCATCATTTGCTGGTCGCCAAGATGAAACTAAAACTCAAGAAGCACTGGACAACGGTGCGGACAACATCACAAAAGTTTAATACCGCCTTTCTTCGAGATGCTGACAAACTTAACAAATTCAACATAGCCCACAGCAACAGGTTCCAGGCCTTTCATGATCTACTCAATGGAGAGGGAACTACCATGGAGAGCAACTGGAAAGGTATCAAGGAGGCAATCGTTTCAACATGTCAGGAGGTTCTGGGCCAAAAGAAGCACCATCACAAGGAATGGATCACTGTTGGTACACTGGATAAAATTGAAGAAAGGAGGAACAAGAAGGCAGCAATCAATACCAGCCGACCCAGAGCGGAAAAAGCCAAGGCACAAGCCGAATACACAGAGGCAAACAAGCAAGTGAAGAGGAGCATCAGAACCGACAAACGTAAATATGTGGAAGATTTAGTGATAACAGCGGAAAAGGCTGCAAAAGAGGGAAACATGAGACAACTGTATGATACAACAAAGAAACTTGCTGGAAATTACCATAAGCCAGAAAGACCAGTGAAAAAGCAAGGAAGGCAAAGTAATCACCGACGTTGAAGAACAACGAAACAGGTGAGTAGAACACTTCAAAGAACTCTTGAATCGACCAACTCCACTGAACCCACCCAACATCGAAACAGCACCCACAGACCTCCCAATCGATGTTGGTCCACCAACGATTGAAGAGATCAGCATGGCCATTAGACAAGTCAAGAGCGGCAAAGCAGCGGGACCAGACAACATCCCGGCAGAGGCACTGAAAGCAAATGTAGCAGCAACTGCCAAGATACTCCACATCCTCTTCAGTAAGATTTGGGATGAAGAACAAGTACCAAAAGACTGGAAAAAAGGACTTCTGATCAAGATACCAAAGAAAGGCGATGTCAGCAAGTGAGACAACTACAGGGGCATCACTCTTCTCTCAATACCAGGAAAAGTCTTCAACCGAGTATTGTTAAACAGGATGAAGGATTCCGTGGACGCCCAACTTCGAGATCAACAAGCTGGATTTCGTAATGATAGATCGTGCACAGATCAAATCGCAACTCTGCGGATCATTGTGGAACAATCAATCGAATGGAATTCATCACTGTACATCAACTTCATCGACTACGAGAAGGCATTTGATAGCGTGGACAGGACAACACTATGGAGGCTTCTTCGACACTACGGCGACACTTACGGTGTCAACACTTCGCGGATGATCTGGCTCTTCTATCACAAACGCAACAACAAATGCAGGAGAAAACGACCAGTGTAGCAGCAGCCTCACCAGCAGTAGGTCTCAATATAAACAAAGAGAAAAGCACGACTCTCAGATACAATCCAACATGCACCAATCGAATTACACCTGACGGAGAAGCTTTGGAGGATGTGGAAACCTTTACATATCTGGCCAGCATCATTGATGAACACGGTGGATCAGATGCAGATGTGAGGGCGAGGATCGGCAAAGCAAGAGCAGCATACCTACAGCTGAAAAACATCTGGAGCTCAAAACAATTGTCAACCAACACCAAGGTGAAAATTTTCAATACAAATGTCAAGACAGTTCTTCTGTATGGGGCAGAGACGTGGAGAAATACGAAAGCCATTATCCAGAAGATACAAGTGTTCATCAACAGCTGTCTACGCAAGATACTTCGGATCCGATGGCCAGACACTATCAGCAATAAGTTACTGTGGGAGACAACAAACCAGATTCCAGCAGAGGAAGAAATCAAGAAGAAGCGCTGGAAGTGGATTGGGCACACCTTGAGGAAATCACCTGATTGCGTCACAAGACAAGCCCTCACATGGAATCCTGAAGGTCAAAGGAGAAGAGGGAGACCAAAGAACACATTACGCCGAGAAATTGAGACAGACATGAGAATAATGAACAAGAACTGGGTAGAACTAGAAAAGGAAGCCCAGGACAGAGTGGGTTGGAGAAAGCTGGTCGGCGGCCTATGCTCCATTGGGAGTAACAGGTGTAAGTAAGTAAGCGATTACCCAAAATCATTGGCCAGTGACACCAATGAAACTTGATTTACCGGAACATAAGAACAAGTATACAGACATATTTACATCTTTATTTTGTAGTCAACAAATTATTTACACATAAAATGGATCATTCAATGTTTTCGTAGAAGTTGATGTAACACTTGATCAGGTGGTGGAGCTGTATAAATTGGATATTCACTAATTTGTTTTAAAGTATTTTCTAATTGTATATCAGAATCTAATTTTCGTTTATTTGCTCGTATATGATTATCAAATTTCACTGGAGACGCTGTATCAACCAATTGTAGTAAGCTTCGTTGTTTCGGTTGCATATTTAACCTTGTAGTCTCCTTCTGGTAAAACGAAATCACAGAGGAGAGAATAAAAGAATAGGTTGAATGAATGAGAAACGATGTTTAGTACAGGAAAATAGGAAATATACAATAATTTCAATAGTTGAGATCATGAATCAATTGAACCTAGACCACCATGGAAAACCTGGAAGCACTAGACGGCTGTTTCGTCTTATTGTGGGACTCTTCAGCAGTGCGCATCCACGATCTCGCCTCGCGAGATTCGAAACCAGGATCTACCAGTCTTTCATGTTTGTTAAAGAGAACTCGAGTTATCTAACACATTTTAGTGTCACATGTTAATTCTTTCTACAAGGGACACTTTCCCAAATCACATTAACGCAACAAAATATGCTGCTACCTGATTGGTTGTTATCATTTTTGGTTTGCTAACTTTGTTGTGTGTTACAAGATCATCGGTTGTCATTACATAAACAGAGTATTTCTATTTAGCTTCTCGACCTTTGCTTCAAATATTAAGCTATCCTAAACATTCTGTATTCTCCACCTCATATCAGTGTGTGGATTATTTACGTTGAAGTGACGTTGTGTGTGAAAGATATCCAGCCTATTCAAGTTCCCATTCGCTTATGTTCGTAATGGAAGAATCTTAATCGGTACGTAGTTAGTGATTACCATAAACCAATACCAACCTCAATAAACGTGAAGTTTACCGTTTTCAATTTCTAACATGCATTAAGTAAAATTTAATACTATGTCGTAATAATTTTGGATTTATAAGTGTAGAGTTTTCAGAAGAAGTTATCACATACTATGATTCGCTCTGATACTCTTTGTTCTCGCGAGAAGATATGTATGAAAGAAATGTCATTGAGGCTGAATCTGCAGTGTTACACAACCACTCCAATCAACGGTTGCAGAGATTAAAAACACCGTAACCAGGTAGTTTGCATTTACCGAAGAAGACTGAGATCAACAGTCTTTGGCTAATGGGATATTTAAGTTTAGCTGTTCCATCTTTCTTCCAGTCTACTCTAACACAAATTAACACTGGACATCGAGGTAAGTAATAGTGAAGCATTCATAACATACTCCTTAACTACCTCAATTGATGAAGACTTACATCACACAAGTTGTTCCTTTTGCCTTGCTACTTAATTACTTACGCCTGTCAACCCTTGTAAAGGAGCATAGGCCACTCACCAGCATTCTCCATCCAACTCTGTCCTCGACAATCCTATTCAGTTGCTATTCATCCTTTTGTAGTCTACTTCCATTTCCGTACACATTGTGTTTTTTGGTCTTCCTTTTGGCATTTTCCCTTCAGCATTCCAAGTAAGAGCTTGCCTCATGATGCAGTTCGATGATTTCCTTAATGTGTGTCATATTCACTCCCAGAATCTTTTCTTAATTTCCTCCTCAGTTGTAATCTGGTTTGTTCTATCCCACAGTAGGTTGTGCTGATAGTATCCAGTCAACGAACATTGAGTATCATGCCTAGACAATTATTCGTAAATACATCTTTCAGAGATTCTTCATCAAGTGAGTTTACGTTGGATTTCTTCATGTAGTATTCCGAGATCCTGCTTTTTCTCTTGTATATGTTGAGGTCTACTGTTGGACAGACTGTTGATGCTACTTTTACAGATTACGTTTGACAACCATCGAGTAATACAGAATCGACTGTTGTACATCATAATTATTCTCCAGATCATTGAGAAACATCTCGTTAGAACTACAAGTTATACAAGTCGTTAGCATGATGAATAACGAAAAAGAAGAAAACCCAACCACAATACAATATACTTACTAGATTTTTCTGTGCTTGTTTACGTGTTCCATAATAAACTAAATCATAACGTCCTGTCTCTCGTCCAATTAATGTTTTCATTAATCCTACTAATTGAACATGATCATCATTATCATTTAATGGAATAAAACAAAGTGATACAAACATTGTACCATTTGATTGTTTATGTTTATTCTTTACTCCACTCTTATGTATTCGATCACATAATGGTTGAGAAGCAAGATTTGATAATGAATGTAGCATATTCAATTTTATATTTGTATTCAATTGAACTTCATAAATGGCAACTACAATGAAGAAAGGAAGAAGCAAACAATCTATGAAATCGATGAAACCAGAACAAACGACATTAGAATGATCTATATCATTACTTATAACGATTTGAGTTATTCAACTTCTTGATCCTCAAGGTTGAAATTTGATTGAACTATGTGAATCTGAATATAAATCTTGAGTGGATTGCCTTAATATTAACTATTCGGTCACACGTTTCAAATATCGATTATGACTAGCAGTGAAATGTAGGATATGAGTTGTATCCTATTCGATACTCGTCAACTGTACAAACCTCTCTCAGTATTCATTATCATATCGGGATCCGAAGCCAGTACCTTTCTCTTTATAAATGCTTGACGCTTTATCTACTGAGTTGCTGACCTTTAGTCAAAATTAAAAGAAGCTATTAAAAGTTAAGTAATTCAGAAAGTCAACATGTCAGTAAATCTGAAATCACTGGCTAGTGAGCTTGTGTGACGTCATTCATTGTATTTTGCTCAAGATGTACAATTCCAGTATGCCTTCATCTACTCCACTCCAATTTATCTTTCAGAGTTATATGAAGTCCTAATCACATCGGAATGCGAATACATAATGCTCAAGTAATGACTGTTTGACGTTTGTCACAAAAAGTCATTTTATGATAAGATAAGTTAGATAGATAATTTAGCTGCCAATTTCAAAACTACCAACGGTGATAGAAATCTGTAGGATGAGACGAAGTGTACTATTTTCAGTCCCCACCTTTTCTAGACCTCTCCTTCTGTTGTGAGAACCAGCATCTGTTGAGATGCTGGTTCTCTGAGGAAAACAACTTACTCGCACTACACTCTTGTACAGTCAGCAGAACCACTTCATCCTCGAACTGCTTTAAGTTTCGCCACTACTCGACGGACATTGTTAACACTGTAAGACCTAGAGAAATGGGTTCTACAACCAATGTGGCTCGACTCGACAATTACGACAGACCAGTTCAACCAACAACTAGTAAAAACACTTTTTCATCAACGTTGTGGTCACCGTTCTAAATGTAACCTTCTTCTCAAAACTATGAACGGATGATTTCAGAAAGCGTTCTGCTGAATAAAACAACATCACAAAATTAATATGAAACTGCTTTTATTTATATCACAAACCAACCTGTTCCATTTTTCAATCCCACAGCTAACCAAGGTTTACTCGGATGTGAAGTTAAACAGGTCGCTGATACATCGGAAACAACTGACATAATTTCAATACTGGAAGATGTACATTTCACTAAGCACAAAGCTCCAAGTGAAACACGCTCACTCATTGATCTGGAAGCATGACCACGAACCGTGATAGCCAGGTAACGTGCAACATTATCATCGTCATTATCCGTATGAGAAACAAGAGCACATTTGTCAATGATAACCTTCTTTGAATCTGGCCACAGACTCGACAGATTATCTTTTAGACAAATACTGGCAGCAACTTTTGGGTTGCCTGAAAATAAGAATGTTTTCGACAGAATACTGATCAATCTAAATTAAACAGACAGATCTGATGAATCATTAAAAGAATGTCAGTTTAATGGATGGCTAGCTAACCACCCACTCAAACTTGGGAATGTTGTGCTATTCATCTAATAATTGTGATGTGAAGGATGGTTCAACTGATAACAATTATCCAAATGGTTACTCTAAAGTATCATACAACCAAATATATATATATATAGCATCGATTGAAAGCGCTTAAAAGGCCTATTGATGATAAAATATTTGTGGAATCTAAACTCTGGAGATGCCTATGCTTGGATTAAGTATTCTAACGACTGGAGAGAAATGTTTAGATATTTTGGAAGTGAATAATCCCACTGATAGAAATATGAATTCAAACTACAACTGTGAAATATTGTTTACAACAGTAGGGGAGTGTGGGTTTTAGATTATAGATAATTTCGAAGCATTGTTTGTACATAGTGAACAGTCGAGTAGTGAACGTAGATGTTGGGGAAAAGTACTGAACGAAGATGGCAAATCATTTTGAAGGACTGTAAATCTTCATTGACTGAGATTTTTTGAGAAACATTACAAATATAATCAGTCACTATCTGGTTTGTGAGTTGGTTAGTTGAACGGTAGGCACACAAATCAAATCAAAACGTTCCATTAGTCTATGAATTCACAAGCCATTGAGGTCCGAGTAATGACCATAAACGATTTTTGGAGAGGCTGGATGAAATGGGTCAGAATCAGTCAAAATGGTGTGGATCAATCCACTATTTATCCTTTTCTACATCTCTTATTGTAGTAGTTATCCATGCATACAGTTTTCACCGTCTCCTAGCAGCATATCATCAATGTTCAATCTTAACAATTACTATCGTTACTACTATTGTTCAGTTGCATCATGCCACTGTAGTATGGCAACCTGAGTTAGTGAACATTTGTACCAGGATCTACATTGATCGTGATTGACTAAATGATTCATACAGGATTGCACTTAATGTGTCTTTTTGGATCACCAAATGTCACTATTCAATGTCTAAGGAGCTGCAATCGGCTAGACTAGATTACTTATCAACTATAATGTTCAGAAAGAAGAGTGCGAAATAAATAGAGTAGTGAAGACGTACTTTCGTTGACACAAACATAATTCGACTGACTTTTTCTCACCGTTTTGTAATCTGTCCTGGTATATAATCAAATCCCTCTTTCAAAAAACATTGATGATTGGGAAAATTAGACAAGCGATATGACACATCATTCAAACATACAACCATGTCACAGTTATAACAACAGCAAGGTAAACACGTCTACATAAATTGATGATGTCAAACTTCATTGTATATTGAGGTGATTAACAATGTAACCAACACAGGCCAAAACGAATTTTCCTTTGTAGAGTGGGAAAGAGAAAACCTTCATAAACAACTGAATACCACAACCAGTGATCGCTTATTGGATCACAATAAGTCACAAGTCCGGAACCTATTCTATCCACTTCGGTTTGGGCAAACGAGTAGTAGTATCACTAGATCGGATGTGACTAGATCAATATGTATCTGACAAATGAGTTAATAATGATTATATCACAACAGGTTAATCTGCACTTACTTTCGAGTAGAATTTCATTCCAGTTTAAAAGAGTTAGATTAAGACCAGAATACACTAAAAGACTTGTCGATGTATTGGATTCATCTACATTAGATTGTACATTGAAGGGAATAACTAGAGAGCCAGGTGGTATGATCGAACGGTTTGGATTACTATACGACAAAAGATGGCATGAAGTTGGAATCCATGGGGAATATATAGGATTTTTCGCTGTGAAAGACAGAAACATTGATCAAAAAAGAGCAGTCTACAATCTTGTTGTTTCTAATCTGAAAGTGAATAGCTGCAACCAGTAGGTAAACCAAGATATGGAATCAGCCCATGTTTCCTAGGTATCTTAATAATCCTATGCTTATCAAAAGAGGTTTATGTGAAGATTAAGTACTTTCATAGTTGAAAGCGTGAGTCAATTGAAGCTAGACCACCAGAGAAAATCTGGAAGCACCACAATAGGACGAAACGGCCGTCCAGTGCTTCCAGGTATTCCATGGTGGTCTAGCTTCAATTGACTCATGATCTCAACTATGAAAATCCTATGCTTCTTTATTTAATAAGTTCATACTTTCTTGTCGATTGGTACCGTTCATATCTAATCTTTTCAAATATATTAATAACACTCCAACTGCTCTAGAATTTTCCATGGTAATCTCATCTCGTTGTATGGATATAATGTGGCAAGTTGAATATAATTTTCCAATTGAACATTGCTCTGTATTTAATAACTATACAAATTGATGAAAAATAATGTATTATTAAGGATATTCTGTGCTACGTTCATTTCATTATTATTTATTTGAACACAAATATTGGTATAGAGGGGCACCAGATATATATGCGCCACACACAAAATTGTCATTTCATTTAACTGTGTGAGGGCTATGATACTGCCCGGGTGTCCAAACTGAAGCACGTGGTTTTCTTAACGGGTCACACCCCGAGCCTTCGACCTAAAGGTTTGATCCACAAAGCAGTACAGGAGCATCGTGAGGAGATGCAGTTCCATGATAGACGGTGACCAACAATTGATTCATACGCCATTTGTTCCTTCACGATATTGAAGCCCATGTGCACCAGGGTTTTCCAACTCACCTAGGTGGACGCGCCGTGTCTACCAATTTGGTCAAAGCGCCGGACATTCGCTTTTCGTCCTCTCAATTTCGTAAACAACACCCCTGCCACGGGAAGGCAATGAGTAGGACTTTCCTGGTAGAGGCTATATACGCGTGACCATGTGAGATCATTTCGAGAAAGAGAGTGGGCCCTCCCCACTCTCGGCCGTACCAGGGTATTCGAGGGCTACATTCACGTATATTTGTTTCATCTAAACATGTTAGGTTTTAAATAATTGATGCAAACAAACAAATAAATAAAACAATAAATCTCACTGTATTCAAAATTATAATTCCATATCATAAGTCGATAATCCATTAACAGTACATATAATTGATTTTTCTCAGATGGAACAAACTCCATACTGACAGCAGGACAACCAAAATGTGACATGGAATAAGTATCAACTGAAGTGAATCTATTAAGATTTGAAGAAAATTTCCACACAAAGATATGAAACATAATTTAAATCTTCATCGAAGATTCAATAAAGAGAATACTGATTACTTTCAAAAAAAGTTTTCACTTACTAATCAGTAGTTTAAATAATCTTACATTCATAATAATCAATGGCGATTTTTTTTTCTGAAAAGAAAGTGGGATACACTCATTGATAAAATAAAACAAGAAGGACCTACTTACTTACTTCTTTAAGCCTAGTACTTCCAATAGAGAATAGGCCGCCGACCAGCATTCTCCAACCTTCCTTTCTAGTTCTATCCAGTTGTTGTTCATTCTTCTCATGTTTCCATTTCTCGGCGTAATGGGTTCTTTGGTCTTCCTCTTCTCCTTTGGCCTTCAGGATTCCATGTCAGGGCTTGTCTTGTGACGCATTCGGGTGATTTCCTCAATGTGTGTCCAATCCACTTCCAACTATTCTTCCTCCGCTGGATTCTGGTTTGTTCTCTCCAACAGTAGCTTGTTGCTGATAGTTTCTGACAAACGGATCCGAGGTATCTTGCGTAGACAACTGTTAATAAACACCTGTATCTTCTGGATGGTAGCTTTTGTAGTTCTCCAGGTTTCCGCCCCATACAGTAGAAGTGCCTTGACATTTGTATTGAAAATTCTGATCTTGGTGTTAATTGACAATTGTTTTGAGTTCCAGATGTTCTTCAGTTGTAAATATGCTGCTCTTGCTTTGCCAATCCTCGCCCTCACATCTGCATCTGATCCACCGTGTTCATCACTGATGCTGTCCAGATATGTAAAGGTTTCCACATCCTCCAAAGCTTCTCCGTCAGGTGTAATTCGATTGGTGCATGTTGGATTGTATCGGAGAGTCGTGCTTTTCCCTTTGTTTATATTGAGACCTACTGCTGCTGCTACACCGATCGTCCTCTCTTTCGTTTGTTGTTGCGTGTGTGATAGAAGAGCCAGATCATCTGTGAAGTCTAATTTTCAACAAAAACTTTGTGATTGACATTTCGGATTAGACCACTTTCAGGTGTACCATAATCAGTTCATCAGGTTCTATGAAGCCAGAAGTAAGTGTATAATATACTGACGATCTATCATCGCAGTTAGGAAACGCTGATTAGTTTTATATAGGAACTAACAATAAAAAGTAATGGAATAACAGCTTAGTTGTGAATAATTAACATTCATATGTCAAATTATCCCTTGTAGTAAAGAAAAAAGTCTGTATGACATATTCGGAGGTGGATCAATGTTATAAAGTTAAGGTTATCAATCCATAGTTTTCGTCATCATCTGTAATGCAAAACATTCGGGTTAGATGTCATGAATCAATTTGGAATTTTAAGTTGAATTTACAAATTAGGGCTAGTGTTTTTATCATCAACCGACATCAACTATAATATAATATTTTGTCACCCTTTAGTTTACAAGCATGAGAAAATTAGGGTTGAGTTTAGGGTAAGGGAATATTATCTAGCTTAACTAATCACTCTTGCGTATGCATTACATTATGTCAAGTACTTTATTAACACACAATCTGCCTTAGAAGCATGTCATATTATATATAATAGTCCTACAGTGGGCGGTCAATTGCGACTGGAATGGTTTACTGGTGGTAACATTCCAAATGGAAAAGCTAAGTAAAGCGAGTACCAACTCAAAAGCTGCATCATTAATGTAAATATAACATGCCGACAAGTGACATTATTATTTATTTTATTTATTTAAACACATAAATATTGGTACAAGAGGGCACCAGATATACATTCGACACGCGAATCTCATTTGATTTGTATGAGGGCTGTGATACTGTCCAAGTGCCCAAACTGAAGCAGATGGTTTTCTTAAGGGGCCAAACCCGGAGCCTTTGACCCTAAAAGTCTGATCCACAAGACAGTGGATGACCGTGAGGAGATGCGGTCCCATGGTAGCCAGCGACCAAAGATTGATTCATACGCCATTTGTTCCTTCAGGATACTGGAGTCAGCTAATGTGCACCACTGGTTTGGAATCAAGGTTTTCCAACTCCCTATGTGGACATGGAGGGTCCACAAATGGCGTAAGAATCACCACCACGAGAAAACAGTGAGTAGGATTTCCCTGTCAGAGACTATATACGCGTGGCCGTGTGAGAGCATTTCGTGAGGGAGAGCGGACTCTCCTCTCTCGGCAGTACCAGGGCATTTGGGGGCGACAAGTGACTCATCACCAACTACTTCTAATCAACTTACATACCCTATTCTACTAAACTGCTACTAAACATGTTACGTCGGATTTCAATGATACTAATCAAATAATAATGACTAACTTAACAGTTGAATATTGAATATTCACACTAATATATGAATGATACATTACCATGAATGAATAAACATCACCATACACTTAGATAACTTAATGTCGTATTATTCCAATGATGATTTCTAAATACTGAACATTTGAGTAGAATCTTCTGATGAACTTAAGTAAAGTAAAACTACGATTTTTATGCACTAAAGTCAGTCAGTCAGCTACAACGTAGGACCAGTCACACATATGCATCTGTTCAAGTTGCCATACCTCGTTAGCACAACAAGATGAACATCGGATTCTTGGAATAGTTAATTTAGGGGTGGTGTTGAGCCTTGATAAGTATGATTACATAATAAGAATATCAGCATGAAATACTCATGACTGAATTTTTAACGATAACTTTTATTCATTAATTGTCACCGATGCTGTAAAATAATAAATTCAATGTCTTGATATGACTGTGCTAACTGATAGTTTAGTGGCACTTCGATCCAACATACAACAACCTTATCCCTAGAGTTCCCACTCCTACAAGATATAAATCTCACAAGGAATATTTATTCTTCATATGGTCAAATAATTAGAATTACAGTCGAGTTTACTCAGTCGTATATCGACTAAATCCAGTGATTATTCGTCGTAAGAATTATAAATTTGAGCAATCATCATTTAAACACTGAAACTACAAAGAGTCGATTAGAACCGACAATGTACACTGGAATTACTTTTCCACTTTATTCCTGTATTCAACTATCTGCTAGATTTGGATAAAAAATGACTATTTAATTGGGATTATAGGTTAAACCTCGACAAATTGTATTTACAAACAATTGAAAATTTTTTAATATGAACGAGAGCCAATAAATGCCCTGGTACGGCCGAGATTGGAGAGAGTCCGTTCTCCCTAACGAAATGCTCTCACATGGCCACGCGTATATAGTCTCTGACAGTGAAATCCTACTCACTGCCTTCTCGTGGTGGGGGTGTTGTCTACGAAATTGAGGGGACGAAAAGCGAATGTCCAGCACTCTAACCGGGTTGGTGGACACGGAAAGTTCACCTAGATGAGTTTGAAAATCCTGATACCAAATCAATGGTGCACATGGGCTCCAATATCCTGAGGGAACAAATGGCGTATGAATCAGTCGTTGGTCACCGGATACCATGGGACTGCATCTCCTCACGACGCTCCACCGCTTTGTGGATTAGACCTTTATGTCAAAGGCTCCGGATGTGGCTCTGTGAGAAAACCACTTGCTTCAGTTTGGGCACCCGGGTAGTATCACAGCTCTCACACAAATCAAATGAGATTTGTGTAGTGCATATATATCTGGTGCCTCCTTATACCAATATTCATGTGTTGAAATAAATAAATATGAATGAGAACACATATGAACTCGAATGAATTAGACGTGTGATACAGAAAAACATTTCAACGTTAATAATCCATATAATGATAATAAGTAGAGAATACGGAACTTTCAGAATGGTTTTATATTCTGTACAAAAGTCAAACGTTGGAACGAAACAACTTTATTTATATAGTAACGTGTAATGACCTAGGAGTCCATACCTAATAAAGGTAGCGAACTAAAAGCGATAACAAACAATAATGTCACGTCAAATGTTATTTCAGAAATAGATATTAGAGGTTATCTTGTGAAGAAAAAAACCTGTATGGAAAACCTGTAAGCACTGGACGGCCGTTTCGTCCTATTATGGGACTCCATAGCAGTGTGCATCCACGATCCCGTCTCTATGGTGGTCTAGCTTCAATTGACTCATGATTTCAACTATATATACAAACGATAATTGTAAAGTGACATTTTATTTAAAAAATTATTCCACAAAACATAATCAATCTATTCTAATGAATGAATCCGCAACTGGTTGTCTTCATGTAGGCAAAAACGATTCCGAAATATTTCACATACAGTACGACAACCTAATCCCTGGTTTTCGAGAGGGATTTTGTGTAAGGATTTCTAAGAAACCATTTTTGAAGTTGCAAAGGTAGCCAGCTTTGTGGATAAATAAAAATGTATAGATTACCATAATAAGTAAAACGATCTAACATACAAATTACGAAATGTATTTCCTAATAAAAACGAAACGCTTCCTTACTTAACAAAATCATGAATTCCATTGACTGATGATGAAGACATATCTTCATTCTCATTCTTTTTTTCTGATTCACGGCACTGCCACCAAGTTAGACGTGACTGATCATCAATTGGTAATCCTCGTTCATGATCAGCTAACTTTTTTACACATTCGTAAGTCACAAACCAAGTAAATGCAACTTCAGTGCTCAACTGAGCCATTAATAATACTTCAGCATGTATAACTGGATGTTTTGAATCCATACTTCTGACAATAAGATTTTGGTGAGTAATGTCAATCTATAGTGAGAGAAAAAACAGTAAATGTCACTTTCTAAAAAATCGTCTCACATCACTTCTTAATTCCAGTTTCTTTTATTAGTCTGAAGAGTTGTTTGGTGTTGCCTACAGCTGCTACCTTTTCCATCTATTTTGCTTTCGTTGCCCAATACTGCTCATGATCGTCCCGTAAACTTTTGGTTAACCTAGATCTGACTTGTTTTCGCTCATTATCGTGTTCAGAGCCTGATGTGATAAGTTTACGAAAGTTTATCACTACAATAGATATAACGGAAATTAACTGGTTTTTCGTAACCCTTTGATTCGATTCACTAGTATATGTCGCTGGTGTTTCCACAGCTATTCGTATATCTTTCCAAGCAATATCTAGGTCAGCCTCGTTTTCAGAGCCACCCAAGTGTGACCTCAGTTGTTCCTGGAATCTACTTTTGGTTTTCTCGTCACTGAATTCAACTCTAATAGGTCTCATTAATGTGGTTTTTCTGCATCCAGTGAGGCACAAGCAAATGTGTGCTCGTATCACAATATGATCAGAGTCCAAACAGGTATTCCAGAACGAGCGACAATCTTTTATTGAGCCTCTCCCAAGATGATTGATGGCAATAAGGTCTATTTGAGTCCATTGTTGGTTTGGTGCAGGGGGTCGCCATGTTAGACGATGTCTCTCCTTATGCTTAAAATTAGTGCTTGCTAAAAATAAATGATTGTCTGAGTACAGTTACAGCAGACGATCACCATTGCTTGTTCGCTGAACCGGAATACTAAAATACCCACCTAGATTTCTTTCTGTTTGGTTTAAGCTACCTTCTTGGGCATTAAAGTTACCTGCTACGAGTACTATGTTTGAGCGTTCAACTTATTGAAGAGGTTCAGAGAGCTTTCTGTAAAAGTCGTCTTTTACTTCATCCGGGTCGCAGTCAGTGGAAGCGTAGACAGAAACGACGAAAAGGCATATATATATATATATATATATATATATATATATATATATATATATGTATATATATATATATAGTGCTTCCTTGTACCAATGTATATGTATTTAAACAAATAAGTAAAATAAATTACCATAAAATTTTTAATCAACATTGTATCCACACAATAATAATTGATTACCTTTTGAACACCATGTTCACGGTCATTTACATTCATTAGCTGTATTTTACCACAGCCACCATTCGTCAGGAGGTATGTCGAAGACAATTCATCATCTATATGTGAAAGTTTGCTTTGTAAAGTCATTAAATTTTCCGGCATCATAAATGCAGCAGGAATTGGAAACCAGTGTTTAGGAAATTGCATAAAGCCTTGTTTTGAGTAGATTATTGTGAAAGCTCCATCCATAATGTGAAATGCTGATGAGGTTAAATTAATTGAAAAAAGAGACAAAATTTTTCTTAGTGGTGTGAATTTTCTTTTTTCCTAGATTATTATTACTATGCTCATATCGTACAACTATCAGGCATCTAGGCTTCCTATATTCTCATCATTGTAAGTTTTCGTTGGATCTCCTAACTGTGGTTATACGGCTTGCTCTATTCACTGCTGTATTTTGCTTGTTTATGTATAGAATATGATCTTCAATTTTACGGTGTGATGCAGCCTGGGATACCGATATATAAAGGCATGTGTGCTTGAAATACAATTATAGAAACTTGGCTGGGTCATTTTCGTATTCGAACCCAAGAAGTGATGGGAGGTGCATCATTGGATAAATAGAAATTAAGATGACCTCGAACTTAACTTACGCTCAATCTTATCATTCGAAGAGTACATTAGTTAAAGCTTAGAACGAAATGCTAAAGATGGAACAGTAAACGCAGAGTAGATAAAATATAACTAGGGTTATGTAAGGTAAGATTTCTCTAGATATCGATTAAAACTACTACCGTTGGTCTTGAGCAACTGAGAGGTATCGCGGCTTTTGCACAAACGTTTGAGTATGACAAAAAACTGGTTCAAGTGAATAAATTACAGAAATTCGGGCTCGAGGAAATATAAACAGAACAGAATTTCTAGAAGCATGATATTCAAGTTAATTTGCAACCAACAAGCATGCCAAAATAGAGCTAACAAAGTAACTTATGAGGCTTTGGTTAATTGTATCCCATAATAATCTTGGCCTCATGACAGTGTTTGCTATGAAGAACTCAGTAATGCTACTACTTCTACCAATATGTGATTTGAATCGACGACTACATCTCTGTGCTAATGTGGTATGGCAACTCGAACTGATGTACGTACGTACGAAGTTCTACGTTGCAACTGACTGACTGACTCAGTAATGCAGTATGTAAAATTAGTCAAAGTCACCAAAACTGTTTCCCAAAAACAGTTTAATCCGAATACGATGACAATAATTATTTTCTACAATATATAGTAGGTAAATACTTACAGTTATTCTCCAAATTGACAGATATTATATCTTCACAAAAACCACCATGACTTCGAACAGAAGATACTGGATAGCCAAAATGAGGTAGAAAACGACGCTGTTGTGGACCACCGAAACAGTCAGTTACATCCCATTTGACCAACACACCTTCCAAACCACCAGAGAGAAGATGAGTGCCTGTAAGTTGAGAAGACTTGATTACTGCAAACTTCAAACTTGTAATACACTAATTTTAACACACGAGACAACTTTTCATAAGACTAAACAAATGTTAGCACATTTTCAATAATTAACACGCTTCAATATGTGTTTATATTGAATGAATAAGAATGAAAAGCTATCTGCAGTAATATATAATAACTAACCAAATACTAAAATGATAACACTTGTTATCAATAGATATAATTGGCTCTACGATTCGGTTCCTCGGAAGCATATAAATTGTTTTACATAATGCAGACCTCTTCCGTGATAAAATTTATTGTTTATTTGAACACATAAATATTCGTACATAGGGAAACCAGTTATATATGCGCCACACAAATCTCATTTGATTTGTGTGAGGGCTGTGATACTGCTCAGGTGCCCAAACTGAAGCAGGTGGTTTTCTTACAGAGCCACGTCCGAAGCCTTTGACCTAAAGGTCTGATCCACAAAGCGGTGGAGCGTCGTGAGGAGATGCAGTCCCATGGTAGCCGGTGACCAACGATTGATTCATACACCATTTGTTCCCTCAGGATACTGGAGCCCGTGTGCACCATGGATTTGGCATCAAGGTTTTCCAACTCCCCTAGGTGGACTTACTGCCCCCAAATGCCCTGGTACGGCCGAGAGTGGGGAGAGTTTGCTCTCCCTTTCGAAATGCTCTCATATGACCACGCGAATATATAGCCTCTGCCAGGGAAGTCCTACTCACTGCCTTCTCGTGGCGGGGGTGTTGTTTACGAAAGTGAAAGGACGAAAAGCGAATGTCCGGCGCTTTAACCGGGTTGGTGGACACGGAGGGTCCACCTAGGGGAGTTGGAAAACCCTGATTCCAAACCAATGGTGCACATGGGCTCCAGTATCCTGATGGAACGAATGGCGGAAGAACCTGTCATTGGTCAACGGCTACCATGGGACTGCATCTCCTCACGATGCTCCACTGCCTTGTGGATCAGACCTTTAGGTCAAAGGCTCGGGGTGTGGTCCCCTAAGAAAACCACCTGCTTCGGTTTGGGCACCCGGGCAGTATCACAGCCCACACACGAATGAATGAAATGATGAACTCTATTGCCGATTCTATTCCTGCTCATATTATAAGCAAGACAATTTACATTATTATTATTAATATTATTATTATTATTATTACTTACCATATCGCTAATTCACCCCCTTTTATCCCCAATTTGTGTAACCTTACTCTTCAATTTATGCAGCAGCTCGCTCTTGGTGGAAAATTTGTCCTATCTAAACGATCTCCAGTCACTGTCTGGTTAAAAGTGAATGCTTCCACCGATAATGAATACTGAGGCAGTCTTTCTAAAACCACGCACGCCGTTCAAGCTGGCTTCCTTCAACGTTCGCACACTAATGCAGATCAGACAACAGATAGGGCTGGCTATGTCTTTGGAAGGTCTTAATGTTGATGTTTGCTGTCTATCCGAGACCCGTATTCAAGACTCTAGTGAAGTACTACAAATCCGCTCTCCATCTGTCGCCTCGAAAAGCTTGTTCCACGTGCGCTTATCCGGGGACCCTGTGGCATCTCCGTCTGGTCTTGCTGGCGTTGGTGTCGCACTAAGCGCTAGGGCTGAGGCAGCACTAATCGATTGGATCCCCATTAACAGTCGGTTATGTGCTGTTAGATTAGAAAGTTCCATCAAAGTGAGAAGAAACCGGCGTGAGAAACGGTGTATTTTCGTCATCTCTGCCTATGCCCCGACAGATTGCAGCACGGATGTAATCAAGGATGAGTTTTACCATCAGTTAACAGTTCTTCTCCAGAAAGCGCGTTCGACAGATATTGTAGTACTAGCCGGAGAATTGAATGCACAGGTCGGGCGTCTAGGCACAGAAGAGAGTTGTCTAGGTGGCCGATGGGGACTTGTTGGTCGCAGGACAGATAACGGGGACCGTTTGCTGCAACTGTGCACAGACCACAACCTGTTTCTGGCCAGCACTAACTTCCGGCACAGTCATCGCCGGTGTGCCACCTGGCGTCCTCCCTCTGCATCCCAAGCCTGGACTCAGATTGATCACATCGCGATCAGCTACCGCTGGCGTGGTTGTGTACAAGACTGCCGCTCCTTTTGGAGTACCTATCTGGAGTCTGATCATGCCCTGGTCTGCGCCAATCTCACCTTACTTTTCAGTGGCCGAAGGATTGACCACCACCAACGGATTGATATTAGTAAACTGGCTGCAACTTCTGTTGCAAGTAAGTATCGAGCGGAGCTAGCTTCTAGGCTAGCTACCATCCCACCGAAAAGTATAGATGAGCATTGGTTGCATCTTCACGACGCCATGAAAATGGCGAGTAAAGCCGCTTGCGGCTTCGCGAAACGTCCCGCTTACAAGCACTGGGTCTCTTCTGGCTCCTTACAACTGATGGAAGCCCGTCGGTCTACTCCGGGTGACCGTGAGTTTGACCACAAACGAGGGCTGTTACGTAATGAAATTGTGCAAAGCTTGCGTAAGGACCGGGAAGCCTGGTGGTCGGAGCGTGCTAATGAGATGGAAGCAGCAGCTGCATCTGGTAACTGCCGGAAGCTCTTCCAACTCATCCGAGCCACTAAAGGCAGCAAGAAGTCTGATGTGAGTGAAACAATCTACGAGGATGATGGGATGCCAATCACTAACATCTCCCGACGTCTTGGACGATGGGCGGAATTTTTCGAAGGGCAGTTCAACAGGCCTGCTGCTCCGGCAACATCAACCAGCTTGTCCTGCCCCCCATGGCCGGTGACGACTGTTCCACCAAACGAGGCGGAAGTCCGCAAGGAACTCCTTCGTGATGTTAGTCTGGCTGTAAAAGGTCGGATCTACAACGCGTCGGCCAGAGCAGTTTTGCTCTATGCTTGTGAAACCTGGCCTCTCCGAGTTGAGGATGTTAGACGTCTCTCTGTGTTCGATCATCGTTGTCTCCGAAATATTGCTGACATACAGTGGCAACACCATGTTAGTAATGCAGAGGTTCGGCATCGTGTGTTCGTGCGCAGAGACGATAATTCAATTGGTGTCACCATCTTGAAACACCGACTTCGGTGGCTTGGACATGTTTTACGAATGTCGTCCCGGAGAATTCCACGTCGTGCATTATTTGCCGACTCTGGGACTGGTTTGAAAAAGCGGAGAGGAGGTCAGTGTATGACATGGTGTCGTGGCATGAAAGAGAGCTGCAAAGGGCTAGCTTCCGTTGGACCTTCACGACTCCTTGGTTGGGGTCCGAGAGATGGTGCAACACAGTGGCTAGAGACGTTATCAGATATGGCTCAGAATAGAAGCCAGTGGCGAACCTGCTGCAACCTTCTTTTACTTTCTACATAAAGAATGGTTCTAACTTTCCTAACTGAGTCTTCTGGTTGTACATTTCAGTACGTCTTATCTTTTCATCCCTTCTCTTGCTACTTTCATTATTTTGTGTGGCGCATATATACCTGGTGCCCTTTTGTACCAATATATATGTGTTTAAATAAATAAATAAATAAAAGGTGGACTTACTGAGTCCACCAACCTGGTTAAAGCGGCGGACATTCGCTTTTCGTCCCCTCAATTTCGTAGACAACACCCCCACCACGAGAAGGCAGTGAGTAGGATTTCCCTGTCAGAGACTATATACGCATGGCCATGTGAGAGCATTTCGAGAGGGAGAGCAGACTCTCCCCACTCTCAGCCGTACCAGGGCATTTGGGAGCCCGTGATAAAAAGTATGGAGAGAGAGAGTGAGACAAAACGGTATACAGATATAAGGACGAAACCAGTATACGTATTATGAATCTAACAGTTCGCAAAACATCGTTTAGTTGTTATCGCCATCAAACAGTTTTTGAAAATGTTACAGATCACAATGATACCATTCAGTTACAAAAAAACCTAACCTGACACATAGTGTAACAAACGTAAAAACATTACATTTGCAACTAACCACATGACGTGAAGCAAAGACTTGTCACTTGTACAGAATGCCAATGAAGTAAAGACCGTTTAACATGAGATGGATGAACTGGGTAATAAGTGAATAAATGACCTTTTGCAAAATGTTTTTTGATGGCTTTTTTGACATGATCGAAAGAATCATCTTCTGAGCAATTCTCACTTCCAGTCCATTCGTCAGAAACAGGATTTAGCATGTTTAAATGATCATCAGTTTGAGCACATAAATTCCACCAAATGAATATTTCACCAAGACCATTTCCTGTAGCAATGATGCAGTCCTTTGGGTGTGCTGCGATGCATGTATAATTTTTTTGTTCTGAATGCTTTTCATTGGTGGGAATCGAATACCTTTGAAAAGAGGTAAAATTTAGTTTGATTACATTAACATCGTTACAAGGAAGCACCAAATATATATGCGCCACAGTCATTCCATTTGTGTGAGGACTGGAATACTGCCCGGGCACCCAAACTGAAGCGAAATTTACATGGATACGTCCTTAAAGAGAACGAATACTGCCATTTGGTTAAAATGTCAGAAACTCATCAAACAAGTGTTTAAAGTCGACCAAATCGTCACAAAAGTTATGACTAACTACTATGAAAACAAAGCAACTGCAAGTGGAAAACACGATTAAACACGATATAATACCACATTAATTGTCAAGTTGGAGATAGTATGGCTTCATCCCTGTCAAACTTTTGCAATTTGATGTAAGCCATAGTAACGTTACTCGAAAGAAAACGAACCAATCAAGCATAAAGACATCGAATTTTAAAGCCTAAGTCAACCCTTCCATGAGACAGAACTAAAATAAATTAACTGACAATGTATTGTATCCACTAGAAACAAAGCTTAGTAGGGATGTGTTAGACATAAAACGGGCGAGTATGATCGATAAAACTTAGAGATTGCTCAGATGAAGAACAGCTTTATTTCGTAAAAAGGAAGATATTCCATGACTTTAAGGTGACGGCTTTCACGATCAATGATATCTTAATAGCGATAAACACAGTCATCCAGTAAGCATGAGTGCTGGTACTGACTTGAGTAGGTAACCGAATGGTGAGAAGAAGTGTATATATACATTTGCTTAATGACATCGTAAAATCGTGGTACAACTTAAACAGATGCAATTATGTGGCAAGTTTGACGCTGCTTTGACTGCTGAAAAGATGTAGTGCTAGATGGAAGATGTCGACTGAACGGATGTTTCTAAACAGTGGAAGAATGAAGGTATCTACCACTAATAAATCATTACAAGTTATGCTTTATACTCATTAGTGACAGTTCATGATAATTACAAGAGGGCACACAAACGCTTGTCATTATAAAGACCAATTAAGGATGATAGAATTAATTTATTTCAATTTGATTTCGATGTATTTATGTATAGCATTAACTGGACAGATAAAAAAGTGAGAAATCAATTAATCCCGTGCATTAGTAAGTACAGTCACTTTACACTTTTGATTAATTTACGACCCTTTAAATAAGGAAATGTAATTTGCGAATATACCCAGAATGAAGCGTTACATTGAATTTAGTCAACGGCATCTCAAGCTATATATGTTTAAATAAATAAATAAATCTCAAGCTAATAGACTTTTGCCAATAGCTTCTACTATCTAAGTTTATGATATAAACAAGTCTATGGGCTTTTATTATTTCCTCTCAAGTAATATACAATGAATCTGTCGTATTCCAAGAGTAGTGTTGTCCTTGGTTCATTCAAATTTATGGAGAGCTAGTCGCATGAACTTAGTTTTATGAAAATCAGTTTGTTTGGAAAGAACAAGATCATATTACGTTCACTTTCAAACAGCGTAAGTCAATTCAAACCGCAGAATACTATGAGGAAATAAGTACCTTAGTATTAAAGTCAAAGAATTACCTCACTGAGACATTTAAGTTAATCCAGTATACGATAAGGATGGAATCGACTATACATGCTACAAAGTCAGAATCCTACAAAAGATTAAGGGCAGAAATCTCATACCTTATACGCCATTATAGCATTTTGGGGGAATTCTACGTAGTCTACATAATTTCCAGTAGAACGGTCATATGACTTTACGATATCTATAAAAGAATATATATAATTACTACTCAGCTACGTTTGTTTTTGCAAGTATGGCTAAAAATATAGCCAGTTGCAGTAGGGAAGCAGAAGTCTATTGGGAACCTGGTATTCAAAATCTTTACTATATTGTACATTGGATCAAAAACTTACCTGGACCTTCTCACATGTTTTGGTATCCCAAACGATTAACTTCCCGTCTAAGCCGCCAGAAATTACCTGAAACATTAGCAAACCACTTAGAAACATACATGATGGGGTTTATCAATTCCAGGAAGAATCCAAACCACTGAGTCTCTATGTCCGTGCAAGAACTGAGAGACTCCCGTGTGTGCATCAAGAACAACGACAAACTTGTCAGAGGAATAAACGATGCGACTGACAAAATATACTTCAAAAGTTCACATTACCTCTCGCTTTTCAGATATACAGGATCCGCGTTAACAATAAGCGACGATAGTCTACTGACTTTAGTAGTCATGCCGCCAAATCCCTACAGCGCGCCTGTTTCATCGACCTTCAGTAATAGAGGTAGTAGGTTGAAGAATCTCTGTTAACCCTGACAGATCGCCTTCCAGTAGAACGCGTGGAACAGATTTACCGTTAATGGTATAACGGTAACTATTACCGTGTCCGATGTGCATGAGCACACTCTTCCTAGAATTAACTTCTAAGCCCCAACCCTGAGTCCATCTAAATATATCTTATAAGTCAGCTTGGAGATGAAAATGACCAGCCTCAATTCTTATTGTTCTCAAGATTTTGACATCATCCCCAAACAATAATGTTTACGACATAGGCAATGGCAGCAATTCCTCAATATAAATAAGTAAAAGTAGAGGGCCTAAGATGGTGTTGTAGCTGTAAATAATTCCCCAAAATCAATAGCTCATTAAGTGTTCGACATTGGATGCTGACCACGTTGTTTAAGTGGACTTGTTTAGCTGAAGGCTTTCGGTCATGCATCCGCACCAGATCACGTTTCAATACTGCGTGGGACACAGCTCCTACGTTTCATTAGCCAGCTCATAGAAAAGGTCCTCGATATATTGGTAACGAATCAAATATATCTTTCCTGCCTCTTCTCGTTTGACTTCTGATTTTCTATCTGACTGGAAACAACCGAATTTAGGTGCTACTGGTATCTAGTTGTAAAACTAGAATATCCGTTGCATCATCATTGGTGAACCCGACGTGATCTGGTACACCAAGTCAATATACTGTGAGTCTGTTCCATTTTGGAATATTATTATTTATTGTTATTCTTTATTTGAATTTTATATATTGTGATATACCTTTTTTTTCCGGATATATTTTAATTAGACATTTTCGTTAGCTATATTACTATGACGGAACACTCACCCAAGGTTTTTAAGTTAAAGTCTATTCCCCCTATTTCGATTCAGTTAACGCCATTTTGGCCCGACAATATTGAGTCCTGGTTCTGCTATGCAGAAGCCGATTTTAGCATGCACGGAATCACGGACTCGCGCACACGTTTCCTCGCGGTAGTTAAGGCATTACCGCGCGAGTTTAACAGGTACGTAACACCTAGTATGTTCACTAGTGATGTTTCCGAACCTTACGAATCGCTTAAGCTATCGATTTTAAAACGAGGAGACCTAACTGATCGACAACGGTTAGACCAACTCCTTAACAATATCGACTTGCAACATGGTTCTGCGACGGACATGTTGCTTAGAATGAGAGAAGTCATCAGCCAACGAACTTTCGATGATGGCCTATTTAGACAACTTTTCTTGTCTAAACTCCCTCAACAGGTGCAGGCAGTGCTTGTTTCATTTCAAAACAATGCCATAGATGAACTAGCTGCATCTGCCGATCGAATCTTGGAAATCACTAGATCTTCTAAGTTCGAGGTTTTTTCCGTCAAAGAAAAACCCCAATCGACCTCGACTGACATGGCCGAACTATGTCACACGCTTACACGATATCTTAGAGTTCGCAATGACCGTAGTCGGTCAAAAACTCCGCGTAGAAGTGCCTCACGTAAGCGATCTGGCTCTCGACCACGAGAGACAGACAATCCCGACTGGTGCTGGTATCATAACCAGTACGGTAAGTTTTCTAGAAACTGCAGGAAACCTTGCAATTATCCGACCCCAAAATCGAGTGACACGAAAAACAGTTCGGGAAACTTCCTAGCCGGCACGCGTTAACGGCAACCGTAGCCGGCGAACACAGCCGCCTCTTATATGTCACGGATGTGACTACGAAAGTTCGCTACCTCGTCGACACTGGCGCAGAAGTTAGCGTTCTTCCAGCAAATCTCGACGACAGACTTCGCGAGTCTGTTTTAAGTTTACAGGCGGCAAACGGAAAGCCGATCGCTACTTACGGTAAAAGGTACGTCTACCTTAACGTGGGTTTACGTAAACCCATACACTGGATTTTCGTGGTTGCAGATGTCTCTATGCCAATCATTGGTATTGACCTGTTACAACACCACAATCTACTCATCGACACACGCTCACGAAGGTTAATAGACGGAAACACTAAGTTGTCCGTTTGCGTAACTCCTTGTTCTGGTTGCAGGTTATCCCCAGTCACGATTAAGCACGCCATAGACCCCTTGTACCAAGCAGTACTCGACAAATACCCCGGGATATACCAATCGCAATCGAAATTACCTTGTGTAACCAGCAATGTTACACATCACATCTCGACTACAGGACCACCTGTATTTTCGAAAGCCCGAAGACTCGCTCCCGAAAAGCTTAGGTTAGCTAAAAACGAATTCAACCACATGATGGACCTAGGAATAATTCGACCATCGAATAGTCCATGGGCATCCCCATTGCATATGGTCCCTAAAAAGGACAGCAATGATTGGCGGCCAACTGGTGATTATCGGCGTCTGAATGCTAAAACCATTCCCGATCGTTACCCGCTGCCTCATATTCACGATTTGACAGCTACCTTGAAAGGTACAACTGTCTTTTCGAAAATCGACTTGGTTAAAGCTTATAACCAAATCCCGATGGCACCTGACGACATTCCTAAAACCGCCATCATCACTCCCTTCGGTCTTTACGAATTTCTACGAATGCCTTTTGGTTTAAGAAACGCGGCTCAAACCTTCCAAAGGTTTATAGACGACGTCTTCCGAGGTCTCAACTTCGTACATGCGTATGTTGATGACTGTCTAATAGCAAGTCCGGACAGAGAATCGCATCTCAAGCATCTGGACATTGTTTTCGATCGACTTCAAAGGCATGGCATTACTGTCAACATTCAGAAATGCCAAATCGGAACTAACTGCTTAGACTTCTTAGGACACACCATTGATGCCCAAGGCATCCGACCCCTTAGGAGCAAAGTGGCGGCCATTCTGGATTACCCAGAACCGACCACGATCAAGCAGTTACGAACTTTTAACGGACTCGTAAGTTTCTATAGACGGTTCACACCTAAATGCGCATCCCTAATGAAACCGTTGACCGATCAGCTTCGTGGAAATGCGAAATCAATTAGTTTAGACGACACAGCCCGTAAAGCATTTTCCACAGTTAAGGAACACATCGCTAAAGCAACCTTGCTTGCTCATCAGGACAGTCAAGCGCCCATTAGTATCGCCGTAGACGCATCCGACTCAGCAATCGGAGCAGTCTTACAACAATGGGTTAACAACTCGTGGCAACCTTTAGGATTTTTCTCGAGACGGTTGCTAGACGCTGAATTTAGGTACAGCACGTTCGGTAGGGAACTCCTAGCTATGTATTGTGCTGTACGGCATTTTCAACATTCCATCGAAGGAAGAGAATTCACGCTCTTTACCGATCACAAACCTCTTACCTTCTCTTTAGGTTCATCTTCAGACAAGTACTCACCAAGAGAGTCTCGACAACTCGACTACATTTCGCAGTTTACTTCAGACATACAGCATATTTCTGGAGCAAACAATGTAGTCGCAGACGCCTTGTCTCGAATTAGCTCCTTGAACAGTTTCCAAGGAATCGACCTTCTTAAACTCGCTCAGCTTCAAAAAGAAGACATTGATCTTCAGCATGAGTTATCCTCGACAACTCTTAAACTAAGTATTAGGCAGATGGGAACAGGTAAGGAAACCTTACTCTGTGACACATCTACAGGTAGGGATCGTCCAATTGTACCAAAACACTATCGCCGCAACGTCTTCAATACGTTGCACAATCTTTCTCATCCAGGTGCTCGTGCAACAATCGAACTTATAGCCGAACGCTTTTGTTGGCCTGGCATGAATAAAGACGTGAGGGAGTGGTCACGCTCCTGTGTAAGCTGTCAGAAATCTAAGGTAATCAGACACAACAAATGCCCCTTAGGTTCTTTCAAAACCCCTGACGCTCGTTTCAACCACGTCCATCTAGATTTGGTAGGACCCTTACCCGACTCGAACGGATACTCATATCTCCTAACATGCGTAGACCGTTTTACTCGATGGCCAGAAGCAGTACCGATTAAGGACATTACTGCTGAAACAGTGGCTCGCACTTTCGTCGAACGATGGGTAGCAAATTTCGGCTGCCCTTCAACCATCACTACAGACCGCGGACGCCAGTTCGAATCTGGACTTTTCCGTTGTCTGACCACACTTTTAGGAATCACGCGCTTCCGAACGACCGCCTACCACCCACAAGCAAACGGGTTGGTAGAACGTTTTCATCGACAATTAAAAGCTTCATTATCAACTTCAAACGTTTCACAGTGGACAGACGCTCTTCCACTCGTCTTGCTAGGTATCCGCAATGCAGTGAAAGCTGACATTGGATACACGGCATCTCAACTCGTTTACGGAACGACACTCCGACTCCCAGGAGAATTCGTGGATCCTTCAGCTTCTTCATTGAACATGGATCTAAACTCTTACACGAGTAGGCTTACAAACGCTATGCGTTCAGTTAAACCTGCTCACACTCGACCTCAATCAACTGATGTTTTCGTTCAACCCGAATTACGACATAGTACACACGTCTTCGTTCGTCGAGACTCACATCGACGACCCCTCGAATCAGCATACGAAGGACCCTTCAAAGTTCTTCAACGCGAACCTAAGTACTATGTAGTTGATAAGAACGGTACGAAAGATAGCATCAGTATCGATCGACTCAAAGCTGCGTACCTAGAAGGAAACCCTAGCTACGTCGATTTTCCTTCGGTGCAAGCAAACGACACAGCTACTACACTAGTAGTACCCTACACGACAACCGACACACAACTTGATACTTCGTCAACGTTGATAGAAAAACCTAAAACAACGCGTTCTGGAAGACGAGTAAGATTTCCAGAACATCTTAACGAATATTGCACGTAGGACATAAGCTTTATCTTGAATTACCCTTTCATTGTTTATTATAAATTTTTTTAATATGCTCATTTTTTTTTATTTATAAAAAAAAACAAAACATTTTTATTATTTTTTTTTGAGCGTATATATATATATATTTATATATTGAAAAAAAAAACAAAAGAAAACCTTTTTTCCGATCGCTTTTACGCTGTTTGTAAGTGTATCAGTTTATTTTTT